TTTTCCCAGAAACTAAATGATATGTTTATTTTTCAAATATTGCTATAATTATCTACCTTCATAGTCAAATAGCTAAGAAAGATATTTAGTTTCACCAGAGATCAGTATAATTGTATGAATCTATTATATCTATGGAAAGGAAATAATGTGCTTTCAGTGCTGTTTATTTATATATGTATAGATCTTTAAAACTGTGATTTTCTAAAGCATGTTGTCTTAAATTGAAAAAATTCTACTAGAAAAATATAGAAGTTGGATTTTGTTTCCCTAAAGAGAATAATCAAATTGGACTAATCATTGCAATAACTGGGATGAATTCAGCAAAACAGGGAAAACAACAGAAAAAGATATTTTCCACACAACATGCAGTTAACTTGCAGGAAGGACTCACTGCCACAGGAATGGGTGATGGCCATTAGCTTAGCTTAGTGGCCACACAGAGGGAAATGTGTGAAATTCGTGGAAGACACAATGTAGTGGCATGAGAGTTTCACACTCTAACAACAAGGTTCTTGTCGCACCTTAAAGATTAAAGTCCACACACATCTGAAAGTTGCCAAAGTTGGAAAACACTATAGCTAAAAGTTTGAAAATCAGCCTTACTGCACAAAAGGCTCAAATTATTTGGCTCCATTTCCTTCTGCTGCAGCATCTGCTTTTCAAGTGTCTGAATGCACATTACAGAATACCAGAGTTGGAAGGGGCCTTGAAGGTCTTCTAGTCCAACCCCTTTGGACTGCTCTGCTTGGCTTGGAGAATGGGACTTGTTTTGCTTTTGTGGCTGATCCTGCAATTGCTTTCTTCTCATCTTTGTAAAACATCATTTTTTCCCCTTCATCCTCGAGAAATAAAGTCTTCAAAGTGGGTTATTGCTGGCCTCTTAGGGCATCAAACAAGACACCTGTCCTTCAACTCATAGGCAGGATTGACTCCATCTGCTACAATCCCAGAGTTAGCATGCTAGGGAGCTGGTAGAAGATGACCAGGAATGACATTATCCGATAGAAGCTTTTAAAAGGATGCAAATGAAATGACCAGCTGTCTGCAAGGAGCATAAATCATTCCATTCCCCACTATCCAGTCAGAAGCTGAAGAAACTTCTTGGATGAGAAGTGAAATGTCTTCAAAAGAAAAACCAAGAAAGTCCAGTCGCCTCCTGAAAAAAAGCCCCTTTGGGACAACCATGACCTGGAGGACTGAGAATCTCTGCAGACTTTTAGCTATGCAATTTGGGATGAAGACCCTTGGAATGGTGTGGGAGTAGGAGTGGATTTCCAGAGGAAAAAATTGCAGGCTACAGGAACCATTTGCACCATTCAGGTGACCCTGAGGACACAGAGAAACCTCCAGGTGGCCTCAAGGACTCTCTAAAAGGATGCAAATGAAATGACCAGCTATCTGCAAGGAGTATAAATCCTTCCCTTCCCCACAATCCAGTCAGAGCTGAAGAAGCTTCTTGGGTGAGAAGCGAAATGTCTTCAAAAGAAAAGTCCAGTTGCCTCCTGAAAAAGCACCTTTAGGACAGCTGCATGGAAGTTCAATTCAATCAGAATAGAGCTGTAAGGGACCTTGGAGGTCGTCTAGTCCAGCCCCCTGCTCAAGCAGGAACCTTATACCATTTCAGACAAGTGGCTGTCCAGCCTCTTCTTGAAAACCTCCAATGATGGAGGACCCATAACATTTGAAAGAAAGCTGTTCCACTGATTGATTGTTTTCACCCCCAGGAAATTTCTCTTTAGTTCTAGGTTAGATCTCTCCTGGATGGAAACTTATCAAGGATGCTGGCTGGGGAATTCTGGGAACCGACTATCTGAAAGCTGCCAAGATTGAGAAACACAGTGAATCTGATGACTCTTCTCTCTTTGAAAGGGTGGGAGGAAAAAAAAGGCAAGAAAAGGAACCAACACAGCCCCATCCTTGGGGATATGAGGAAGCATCACCCTGGCAGTGAGTTTGACTCTCCACGAAATGTTACTTGCTTCCTTATTTTCTGTCCCCAGAACAGCTGAAGTTTGCAAAGTGCCTAAAAGGTAGTATGTTGGAGAATGTTTGAAAAACGAACTTGGAGGTGCTGACAAAAATCCCCAGCAGCCTCCCCTTTCTTCTGCACCCAAACAAATATCTATCTATCTGTATCTATATCTATATCTATTTGTTTTCGTAGATTTTCATGGGTACAGGTATGCAAGTCTTGGCATATTTGACTAATCTGCAAACATCAACTCCATCAACTAATCAAGATGTAACAACACAGCCAACCAACCCGCCTACAGCAACAGAGCCAGCACTTCACACCTCCCCACCAGTATTTATAGAGAGACGGCATCTCCGATCATGCTTTGCTCGCACAGGCATGAAGCCAAAGATACCAGCCTGAAGATGACGAGTGGGACCTCGTCGAAACGTCGCCAAGATACTCTCAATCTTATACGGGAAAAGACCTGAACACGCCAAGACTTGCATCTATATATATCTCTCTATCTCTCTATCTCTATCTATCTTTAGGACAGCAGAATTGGAAAGCCACAAGCAGTTGCTTAGCATAGAGTCCTGGACTCTGCTTGTCTGAATTCAAATTGTATCCTACAAGAGTTAACCATCTCTCTACTTTGAGCCCTGAGGGCTAGAAACTTGCTTAGTTTCTTTAAATAATGTCCAGCTCCACTAGGAGCTGAGTTCCACAAAGAGATCTCAGTGTTTGCAAATATGATGTGCATCTACTATGACAGCTTCACCTCTTTCATGTATTGAATAACAAAAACTCAGATAACAGAAAACAAGATAAAGCAGTACAGTTCTTAATACAAATCAATCATCAACCAGCTCACGGCTACAATCATAGCAAGCATCCACATTAACAAACAGGCTTTTGGGGCATCCTAGCATCTTCAGGCAGAGGGTGGGAAAGTCCTGATGGCACAGTGGTTAGAATGCAGAATTGCAGGCAAACTCTGCCCACTGCCAGGAGTTCAATCCTGACAGGGCTGGAGGTTGACTCAGCCTTCCATCCTTCCGAGGTAGGTAAATCATGTATTAATACTGCTTTATAAATTTAGTACGCCACAACTTTTTCATGTGTGGAAATGCCCTCTAGACTCTTCAACCCTCACCCACAAGGATTTGTGTGGCTCATGAAAGGCTCAGAATAGAATAGAATAGAATAGAATAGAATAGAATAGAATAGAATAGAATAGAATAGAATAGAATAGAATATTGGCCAAGTGTGATTGGACACACAAGGAATCTGTCTTGGTGCATACACTCTCAGTGTACAGAAAATAAAATAAAATTACATGCTTATAAGCATGGATTCTGACAACAGGCTGACCTGTGAATTCTCCAGTTAGTCTAATGTGCAAACCCATCCCGCAAACACACCCCCAGGGCAGCATCGAAGCCAGGACAGACAGACAGGCGTTTTGTATTTTTACTTTGTCAATGCTAGTTGACACATCAATGGAAAAGCAGACAGGAACTGCATCCCAAAAGCCTTAGAGACTGCCAGCTCTCTTCCTATGGAGGTTTTTTGAAATAGAACTGAATGTGCTCATCTGGAGAAGCTGGTTTGCTAATATTTAAGAAATAAAAAAAAAACTGCCATTAGTTTGGAAATGGGGTCCAAGCAATCAAGGGCCCAGCTAGTCTGCAGCCCCCCCCCCAAAAAACAACCAAAACCCGCTCTCTGGCGATTTGATAGCAGCAAGAGCCCACAGTCTGCAGGGCAAGGACATTCTCTCACGCCCGCAAAAAGCTAAATTGCACCCTCTCCCTTTCCACGAAGTTTTCTTCCGTTGCAAAACAGACATTGTCTCGGTAAGGAAAATGTGGGCCAGAAAACGGGGGTGGGGGAGGGTGGGGGTGGGGGGTGAGGGGAACGACGAGGCTCAGCCAGAAATTCCACCGCAGACTTTGCAAAGGCCTCCGCCGAGAGAGAGCTTGTTTGCAAGACTTTTAAATCAAAAACAGATGTAGCCTCTCTTTTCCACGGGGTTTTAGGTTACACTTGGAAGGGGATGGGGTTTTTTGGGGGGGGGGGGCGGGCGCCGCGTTAGTTGTTGTTCTTTGAACCTCATGGAAAAAAAGGGGGGGGGAACTTATTGGGTCTCCCAAAACCTCGGCGCCTGCCTTTTTATCTGTGGATTTTTATTTTTTTTCTTCTTCATTTTGGAAATCTTGCACTCCCGGCTCAACATGGCTGTCAGCGAACAATGGGGGCTGGGGGGGGGCAGGTTTTTTTTTTTTTTTTTTTTTTTTGGCAAAGAGGAGGAAAGGACCGAATTCCGCTTTCTGAGCCGGGATGCAGCGATGGGTTAGAGCGGCAGAAAGCGGTTTTTGCTGGGGAGAGCGAGAGCGAGAGACGGGGAAGGGGGGGCTGGGCTGCTGCCGGCCCCCTTCCCTCGGAATTTAAACCCGGGCTTCCAAGCGAGGCTGCAATTAGGGTCCCTCCAAGAGGCGCCCCCCCGGCCCTGCTCCACCGGCTCTCTAACTCAGCCCCCGGAGGACAAATGGGCTCCCTCCGGCAAGAAGAGGCGCCTGGAGCAAAACTTGCGGCGTGGCAAAAGGCGCCCGGTCCACGGGGGGAAGGAAGGGTTGGAGGGTGGGGGGCACCGGAGCTGTCAGCGGCGGGGGAGGGATGAGCCCTGAGTGTGGGGACCCTCCGCCGGCTCCTCCTGGCCTTTTTTGGGGGGGGGGCTTCCTCGCGCCTCCCTGGACCCCGTCGGGTGGCTGGACATCCCCCACGGACGAGCCCGGTTCCGCAGACCCGGACAGAGAAGGAAGGTTGGGCGGGGAATGCCGCCTTCCTGCCTCCTTTCCTCCCTCCGCTGGGGAAGCCGGAGCCCCTTCTCGGCCTCGGAGGGGAAGGGGCGTCGGCGTTCCCGGGACTCCGGTTGGAGGACCAGCTCTGCCCGGGGTGAAGCGCATCTCCTTCAGCCCCCCAAGCCCGGGAGCGAGAGGACGAGCCAGCGCAGCCCCCCCCACCTACCCCCCCCGCCTCTTACCCCGCCGCCGGACAGACGTTCCTCCCGCGGGGACTCAGCTCCCGCGCAGCCCCGCCGGCCCAGGAGAAGAGCAGCAGCAGCGGCAGGACCAGCGGCAGCCCGAGGGGCAGGAGGGGCGCCCGGCCGGCGAGCCGGGCCCTCGGCGGCCTCTCCATGCGTGAGGAGCTGCGCTCTCCTCCGGCCCTCCCGGGGCAGCTGGGCTCCCCGACGGCGCCGACTCCTCCTCCTGGCTGCTCCAGCATCCCGGCCGGAAACGGCAGAGCGAGAGAAGAAGCAGCCGCCGCCCCCTCCTCTACCCCGGCGACGGCAGGAGCAGCGGGCGGAGCGGCCAGCCAGCAAACGCTGCCCCGTGCCCGCTGCCCCGTGCGCCACAGCCAGCCAGGCGCTCCGGACCGCGGGCTGGAGAGCTTGGGGCCGCGCAAGAAGAGGGGAAGGGAGGGAAGGAGGGAGGGAAGGAGGAAAGCCCCGGCCCTCCCCGTCCTGGCCGCCGGGATGTCCCCCCCTCCGCCGCTTGGTGCGCTGCAAATGCGCCAGCCGAGGGAGCAGGAGTTGCGCGGGGTTCGTGTGAACGGGAGAGCCTGGCGCTTGCGGGGACTTTTTGCGGGCGTGGCTGGGACTTGGATGCCCGGGACTGGCCGGTGCAAATGGTGGGATTTTCCCCACCCCACTCCCCGAACGGTCCCGCGTCCACCGTCCCACGGATTTGGGGGGTTGGTGGAGGGGAATGACCTCCGGGAGTTTGAAAGGCTTCAAACAAAAAACCCGGGTTAGGAAGAGGGGAAGTTCACGGAAAGGGAAGCCCCAAGAATTCAAGGGAACTCGAGCACAATCCGAGCATCCTTTAAACCGGGGATCTCCAACCTTGGCAATTTCAAGCCTGGAGGACTTCAACTCCCAGAATTTCCCCAGCCAGCTTTCTGGGAGTTGAAGTCCTCCAGGCTTGAAGTTGTCAAGGTTGGAGATCCCTGGTTGAACTGTTTGGCCTCTGGAAGCCCGGCTTTTGCCCCCAAAGCTTGCCCTGTGGTAGCCCTCAGCGGATCTGTCTGGGGAGCTAAGCAGGGCGGATCCTCTGAGGAGCTTCTCGGATGAAAGGCCAAACAGGATCCTACAACAGTCAAACATTTCCGTCCTTACATTGTTGGTTTGAGCTTCGAGCTTGACGATTGGGTTGCAAATGTTTTCGTCCCCATTTGAGGAGGCGTCTTCAGTGGATCGATCCAAAGCACACTGACGACATCTCCTCAAATGGGGATGAAACGTGTTTGCAACCCAATTGCTAGGCTCGAAGCTCAAACCAGCAAGACAGCTACCGACTCGAGCTACTAATATTCAAAGACATTTTAACTTCTGTTCTTGCCAAGAAAGCTTCAGCTTCAGGGACCTTCCATGATGTCCACAGCTTGATGTAAAGGACACCGAAGTTTTTGACCTGCTGTGGTGAGAAGCCCCTTCCGGCCAGCCCTGTATGGTATTTCTCTGGTGTAAGAGCAGGAGAGGCTGCAGTCCAAAACCCATTTTCCTCTCCCCAATCCTTTCTTGGGCTCTTCTCAGGGGTGAAATTCAAAAATTTTCTCTACCGGTTCTGTGGGCGTGGCTTGGTGGGCGTGGCAGGGAAGGATACTGCAAAATCCCCATTCCCACCCCACTTTGGGGCCAGCCAGAGGTGATATTTGCCAGTTCTCCAAACTACTCAAAATTTCCGCTTACCGGTTCTCTAGAACCTGTCAGAACTTGCTGGATTTCACTCCTGGCTCTTCTACATCAGTGCAGTCCCAGAAGGACCCCCTCCCTCCCTCTGAGAATCAACAGACCACCTTCCCCTCTGACCGACCGACTGACTTATGGCTTGTGCCCATTTATGACTCCCTAGAACGGTGCCTGGAGCCAGAGGGAGATAGTGAGTGATGGTCACTTTTCCAGCCCCTCTGGACAGATGGATTGCCATGTGTGAAGCTGCTGCGTGGTTTGTGGGGTGATGCAGGATGGAGCTGGCCAACTGTGGCTTGAACAAATGGTGGTCTCAGAAAAGGGGATCTTAGCATAATACGTAAATCCAGCCGAGGAATGCCAGTTGTTTCTCTCTCTCTCTCTGATCCCAGGCTGCCTGTCAGAAGAAAATGCACCCCTCAAAAGACCCTCTTTCCCCATGCAGTCTAGTATAGCCTCCTGGGCTGTTACTCTCACATTTGTTCTAAGCTGTCCTTTGAATTGGGGGCAGGCAGCAGGCAGTAGAAGGAAGGGAGGGAGGGGGGGAGGGAGGGAGGAAAGAAAAAGAAAGAAAGAGAAAGAAGGAAGGAAAGGAAGGAAGAAGAGGAAGGGAGGGGGAGGGAAGGGAGGAAGGAAAGGAGGAAAGAAGAAAGGAAAGAAAGAGAAGGAAGGAAAGAAGGAAGGAGAGGGAGGGAGGGAGGAAAGAAGGAAGAGAGGAAGGAAAAGGAGGGAGGGAGGAAAGAAAGGGAAGGAAGGAAGGAAAGGAAGGAAGCAAGAAAGGAAAGGAAGGGGAGGAATGGAGGAAGGGAAAGGAAAGGGGAGGGAGGGAGGGAGGGAGGAAGGAAGGAAGGAAGGAAGGAAGGAGAAAAGCCAGAAAAATCCAGTCCTTGCTGCTTCAACAGAGGGATAGCATCAAGATCATGAGAAGTGATAACAGAACATACAACACAGGATAATGGAATTGGAAGGGACCATGGAGGTCTTCTAATCCAACCCACTGCTTGAGCAGGAGACTCTATACCATTTCAGATAAATAGTTGTCCAGGCTCTTTTTGAAAACCTCCATGATGGAGCACTCACAACTTCTGAATCTAAGCTCTTCCGTTGGTTGTTTGCTCTCACTGTTAGGAAATTTCTCCTTAGTTCTAAGTTGCTTTCTCTCCTTGGTTAGTTTCCATCCATTGCTTCTTGTCCTGCCTTCTGGAGCTTTGGAAAATAGTTTGACCCCCTCAAATATTGGAAGACTGCTATCATGTCCTTCTTTTCTCCAGACTAGACATACCCAATTCCTTTAACTGTTCTTCATAATTTTTAGTTCTGTACTGCACTAGGGAGGACACACTTGGAATTCTGTCTCCAGTTTTGTATCACCAGGATACAAAAGATGTTGAGACCCTAGAAAGAGTGCAGAGAAGAGCAACCAAGATGATAAGGGGACTGGGGGGGCTCAACCATATGATGAATGGCTAAGGGAACTAAGTATGTCCAGCCTAAGACAGAGAAGGGTTAGGGGTGACATGATAGCTTGTACTTGAGGAGCAGTCACAGAGATGCGGGATGAACCTATCATCCAAAGCACCTGAGGGCAGGACAAGAAGTAACAGGTGGAAGATCATTAAAGAGAGATCCAACCGGGATCTAAGGAGGAATTTCCTGATACTGAGAACAATTAATCAGTGGAACAGCTTGTCCCCTAGAGCTGTTGGTGTCCCATTGTTGGAAGTCTTCAATGAAAGATTGGACAGCTATCTGCCTGGGGTGGCATAGGTCCCTTTCAGCCTGTTCTGTTCCGTTCCGTTCCGTTCCGTTCCATTCCATTCCATTCCATTCCATTCCATTCCATTCCATTCCATTCCAAGGTCCCTTCCGTCCTGTCCTGTCCTGTCCTGTCCTGTCCTGTCCTGTCCTGTCCTATCCTATCCTATCCTATCCTATCCTATCCTATCCTATCCTATCCTATCCCATTCCATTCCATTTCAGCCCTATGATTCTATGGGTTTTGTTTTTTTGTTTTGCTTTGCACAATATAATTATCTCCCTGGTCTTCAGCCCCTTTGGCTTCCTGCTGTTCCTTTAATAAACCAGTTCTACTTGCAGTTTTTACTTTCGGATATTCTTTTCATATTTCCCTATTTTTAATTTTCAGGCGTTCACGACTTTTAAAATGTAGCTGAAATTCTGCCCTCCCTATTGCAGCATGCACACCTGATGGATTGATAGACAGAGTTCGTTTACTGATTTGCCGAGAGAGAAAGTTTTATGATCTGCTGGCCTTTTCATTGCAACAAAGATGTCTTCTGCACCTTCAGGTTTTTGGCTTTTTAAAATTCTGTCATGCAGATAAATGCTGGTTTCTCCTTTACTGGGCTCTCCCGAATGGAGTGGTGCACTGCCATCTAGTGGACATCTTCTGGATTGCAGGCTGAAGCAATAGCAATAGCACTTAGACTTACCATATATACAGATTGACAGAGTTGGAAGGGTCCTTGTAGGTCATCTAGTCCACCCCCCCTCCGACCAAGCAGACCCTACACCAATCTCCCCTTGAAAGCTCCCAGTGATGAAGCTCCCACAACTTCTGTTCCATTGGTTGATTGTTCTCACTGTCTCCTTATTTCTCCTTATTTCTAGGTTGAATCTCTCCTTGATCAGTTTCCATCCATTATTCCTTGTCTGGCCTTCTATTAATACTGCCTAGGATTGTGTTGCCTTTTTTGGGCAGCTGCAGATCACTGCTGGCTCATATTTAAGTGATTGTCCACCAGGACTCCAAGATCCCTTTTGCAGTTTTGGGCCAGGCACCACCTATTCTATACCTGTGCATTTGGGTTTTCTTGCCCAAATGTAAAATCTTTTTTTTTTCATCATTGAGATTCATGTCCAGCTTTTTACTGGACAACCTGACTTAACTCCAATGACATTTCCTGCCCTGCAACCCCTCCCCAGCCAACTGCACTAGAATGCTGGGGCTGGTAGAGGTCTTCTAGTCCATCCTTCTGCCCAGGGCAGGAATCCTCAGAGTATCCCAGACAAATGGCTGTCTAACCTTTTCTTGGAGCCTCCATGGATGAAGCCTCCATGAGTCCAGGAGGAAGACTGTTCACTGCTGAAGAACTTCCATGGTCAGGAGATTTATTTATTTATTTATTTTATTTTATTTCTATACCGCCCTACTCCCGAAGGACTCAGGGCGGTGCACAGCCAAACAATAAAATACATACATACAAAATTTAAAAGTGGAATTAAAATCAAATTAAATAGTTTTGGCCCAGACAAATTAAAACCCCAATCAATTTAAAACCAATTTTAAAATTTGAATATATAAAATACTATAAAATATTAAAAAATTAAAAATCTTTTATAAAAGAGGGAGAAAATTAGGCCAGGCCCGCCTGGTGAAATAAAAAGGTCTTTAAGGCGCGGCGGAAGGTGCGCAGATCCGGGATCCTCCGTATCTCCGGGGGGGAGCTCGTTCCAGATAGTAGGTGCCCCCATAGAGAAGGCTCTCCCCCTAGGGGCCGCCAGTCAACATTGTTTGGCCGATGGCACCCGGAGGAGCCCTTCTCTGTGGGAGCATACCGGCCGGTGGGAGGCTGGTAGTAGGCGGTCCCACAAGTACCCAGGTCCTGAGCCATGGAGCGCTCTAAAGGTGGTAACCAAAACCTTGAAGCGCACCTGGAAGACCACCGGGAGCCAGTGCAGCTCGCGCAGGAGAGGTGTTACATGGAAGCACCATGTCGCTCCCATCACCACCCGCGCGGCCGCACTCTGCGCCAGTTGGAGCCTCCGGGTGCTCCTCAAGGGGAGCCCCATGTAGAGAGCGTTACAATAGTCCAGACGGGAGGTGACGAGGGCATGAGTGACCGTGCGTAACGAGTCCCGATCCAGAAAGGGACGCAACTGGCGGATCAGGCGAACCTGATGAAAAATCCTCCCGGTCACGGCCGTCAAGTGCTCTTCCAAAGACAGCCGTGAGTCCAGGAGGACACCCAAGTTGCGAACCCTCTCCGTGGGGGCCAGTGATTCGCCCCCAATAGTCAGCGATGACACCAACTGACTATATCGGGACGTCGGAAACCACAGCCACTCGGTCTTGGATGGGTTGAGCCTGAGCCTGTTCCTCCCCATCCAGATCCGCACGGCCTCCAGGCACCAGGACATCACTTCAAGGGCATCATTGGGGTGGTCTGGGGTGGAGATGTACAGCTGGGTGTCGTCAGCGTACTGGTGGTACTTCACCCCAAAACCACAGATGATCTCACCCAGCGGCTTCACATAAATGTTGAACAGGAGGGGCGAGAGGACCGATCCTTGCGGCACCCCGCATATGAGGGGCCTCGGGGTCGACCTCTGCCCCCCTGTCAACACAGACTGCGACCAGTCAGAGAGAAAGGAGGAGAACCACCGCAACACAGTGCCTCCCACCCCTAACTCTTCCAACCGGTGCAGCATGATACCATGGTCGATGGTATCAAAAGCTGCTGAGAGATCTAACAGGACCAGGACAGAGGAGCACCCCCTGTCCTGAGCCCTCCAGAGATCATCTAACAGCGCGACCAATGCCGCGTTGCCTCCTTAGTTTTAGGAACGGAACAAGGTTGATCATGGTTTGACCAAAAAGGGTGAGAAGGGGATCCAGTCACACAATCTTGTGGTTGGGAGCAATGGTGGGTTTCAAATTTTTTTACTACCGGTTCTGTGGGTGTGGCTTGGTGGACGTGGCAGGGGAAGGATACTGCAAAATCCCCATTTCCTCCCGATCAGCTGGTACTCGGGAGGCAGAGAATAGATGGGGGCAGGGCCAGTCAGAGGTGGTATTTACCGGTTCTCCGAACTACTCAAAATTTCCGCTACCGGTTCTCCAGAACTGGTCAGAACGTGTTGAAACCCACCTCTGGTTGGGAGGGACCTGGGAGGCCTTCTAACCCAACATGGAGTGGGACTCCTCCAAATAGCCTAGACAGATGGCCTTTCTTTGAACACCTCCAGAGATGGAGCCCTCAGGACTCTTGCTCTGCTTAGTAATTCCCAACAGCCAGGAAATTCCAACTTGAGCTTGGATAATTCTCTGAAAAGCTTCCATTCCTTGCTTCTTGTCCCACCTTTGAGCACCACAGAGCATAAATTCACACACATCCCTTCAAAACTGAAAAACTAACTTGTCCTCCCGGCCGCCTCTTTTTTAGGCTAAACAATACTCAGTTCCTTTAACCCATTTTCCATAGGACTTAGCCTTCAAGCCTCTTCGTTGCTCTTCTCTGCTCACTTTTCCAAATCCCCTGCCTCCTTTTTGCATTGTGGTGACCGGAACTGGAGAAGATATTGTGTGAGTGTCATTCAACGAGTGTGGCATGGAGTGGTGCTCTCACTTCCTGTGATCCCGTCTCTACCTGTATTTGCACTGGCTCCGTTAGCACCTGTGGCACGCTGCTGGGTCACGCAAAATCTGTGGTCTACGAGGACACCAGATCCTTCTTGCAAAACACTACCACGGCTAAACCAGGTAGCACACCTATTTTGTTCCTGGTGCATCTGGTTTTTCTTGCCAAAATGGAGAACCTTACATGTTGTTATGATAGGATCCGGAGTTCATGTGTATCTAGACCTTTTGAATCTTGAGCCTGTATTCTGGTTTGTTAGCAACCCCTCTTCCAGTGGTGAAATCCAAATTTTCTTACTACCAGTTCTGTGGGCGTGGCTTGGTGGGCGTGGCAGGGGAAGAATACTACAAAATCCCCATTCCCTTCCCACTCCTGGGGGAAGGATATTGCAAAATCTCCATTCCCACCCCGCTCCTGGGGGAAGGATACTGCAAAATCCCCATTCCCACCCCACTCTGGGACCAGCCAGAGGTGGTATTTGCTGGTTCTCCGAACTGCTCAAAATGCCTGCTACTGGTTCTCCAGAAGCTGCTGGATTTCACGCCTGCCCTCTTCCCAAGATTTGCATCATGTACAATCATAAGGACCCCTCTATTCCTCATCTTGGGACATTTATGGAGATGTTGAAGAGTCCTTGGCCCAAGCTGGAACCCCGGGTATCCCCTGCATCTGTCCCTCCTTTTGGACATGGTCCCCTTAAGGACCATGGGATGGATGTAGTAGCTCAACCCACTGCCAATCCCTCAATCGTAGGTTATTCCAGGAGGCTGTGTCCACTTTCCCCCCAATTCCTTATTAAAGTCTGGGTACACTGCATCCACAGAATTCTCTTCCTCCAGTAATCTAGCCCAGGTTCTCAAAGCAAACTACGATTTGTCTGGTGCAACTTGTTTTTAAAGAAATCCATGCTGGCTAATCCGATAATTACCTTACTTCTTTTCTAAGCCCTTGCAAACCTGCTCGATTCACTAACGAACTCTGGCTAAATAGATCACGGTTTTGCAAGAGCTGCAAACCCCCAAGAGAAGGTGTGTGTGTGAGGGGTGATCTCACCCAGAGACCAACCAGAGAGGTTCAAAGGCTGTCCTGGGAAAAGGCTCTTCTGCAACCCGGCTGTCACTCAAGCAGTTTCTGAAAAGAATTTTATTGATGCAGCCACCTTCATCCCAGAGGAGGACAAGCGGAAGAGCAAACAGGTGACAAAGGGCACCCAGAGAAGGCGATTCTGAACCTCCATCACTTGGTAGCCCAGAGTACCCAGACGTGTCAAATCTGGGAGATGGCAACTGGCAGGTGCCACAAAGGTGCATAATGCTAGAGTAGCTGCTACACTCGGGGCTTCTGTTGCCAGGCCCCGAGAAGCTATGCTACCCTGGCACCGGGCAAGAGAGAACCTGGTCAGCCAACAAGGTAGCATCCACGACTTGGTCCAACTGGGGTCTCTGTCCAAGCTGTCCCAGTGTCGAGGCAGCTGGGGAGAAGTACTTAAGGGGGGCTCGGTGCGTTGAAGAGGGCCCCTGCAAACAGACGCCTCTTCAGCTCCGTCCAGAGCAGCTGCTGCTCCTCCTCTGCTCGTGCTAGAAGGCCTCGGTTCTCCTGGGCTCTCCTGGACAGGTAAGGCAGGACCTCCTTCACGGGGCCATAGGGAACGTATTTATACACGGGGAACCCGGCTTGACCTGTAGGGAGGAGGGAACCCAGAAGTCAGTCGGTTGCACCTTCTCAACTCAGCCTCCCCCCACTCCAAATTGAAGTAACAAGCCAACTTGGTTTGGTGGTTGAAGCATCAGGCCAGAGGTTGGGAGACAGTGAGTTCTAGTCCCACGGTGGGACTCCGATGAGCCATGGTGGCGCATTGGTTAGAGTGCAGTACTGCAGGCTACTTCTGCTGACTGCCTGCAATTTGGCAGTTCAAATCTCACCAGGCTCAAGATTGACTCAGCCTTCCATCCATCCTTCCGAGTTGGGTAAAATGAGGACCCAGATTGTTGGGGGCAATAGGCTGACTCTGTAAAGTCATAAGTCTTTATAACTTATAAGTCTAAATGCTATTGCTATTTTCCTTCCTTCCTTCCTTCCTTCCTTCCTTCCTTCCTTCTTCCTTCCTTCCTTCCTTCCTTCCTTCCTTCCTTCCTTCCTTCCTTCCTTCCTTCCTTCCTTCCATGGTGCGCAGTGGTTAGAATGCAGTATTGCAGGCAAACTCTGCCCACTGCCAGGAGTTCAATCCTGACCAGGTGAAGGTTGACTCAGCCTTCCATCCTTCCGAGGTGGATCAAATGAGGACCCAGATTGTTGGGGGCAATAGGCTGACTCTGTAAAGTCATAAGTCTTTATAACTTATAAGTCTAAATGCTATTGCTATTTTCCTTCCTTCCTTCCTTCCTTCCTTCCTTCCTTCCTTCCTTCCTTCCTTCCTTCCTTCCTTCCTTCCTTCCTTCCTTCCTTCCATGGTGCGCAGTGGTTAGAATGCAGTATTGCAGGCAAACTCTGCCCACTGCCAGGAGTTCAATCCTGACCAGGTCAAGGTTGACTCAGCCTTCCATCCTTCCGAGGTGGATCAAATGAGGACCCAGATTGTTGGGGGGCAAGAGGCTGACTCTGGAAAGCGCTTAGAGAGGGCTGCAAAGCACTGTGAAGCGGTATATAAGTCTAAGGGCTAGTGCTAAGTGGGAAGGAATAAAGGAGGGGGGAGGGAGGGAGGGAGGGAGGGAGGGAGGGAGGGAGGGAGGAAGGAAGGAAGGAAGGAAGGAAGGAAGGAAGGAAGGAAGGAAGGAAGGAAGGAAGGAAGGAAGGAAGGAAGAGCTTTAGTGGCGCAGTGGTGAGACTGTAGTATTTCAGGCTCAAGGTTGACTCAGCCTTCCCTCCTTCTGGTCCTAAAAGGAGGACCCAGATTGGGGGCAATAGGCTGACTCTGTAAAGCACATAGAGAGGTCTGTAAAAGCATTGTAAAGTGGCATGTAAGTCTAAGTGCTACTGCTAGTCCCACCTGAGCCAGGAAAGCCAACCGGCTGACCATGGGCCAATCTCCCTCTCAGTCCAACTCGCTTCACAGGGCTCTTGTGGTGGGGGAAACAGCTCTTCACGCCCAAGAGCCTTCAGGATTAAAACCGGAGCCTGGCAGCATCTTTTCTGATGAATCCATCTTAGCAAAAGGAGCCAGAAAAGCTTATGCACCTTTTAATAAAATATATCTGTCAGAATTAGGAGGCCACCAGAGGCCTCCTAATTCTTGGCTACTGTTGACGGAATTCTGCACCTACGTGTTAAGGATTAACTCTAAAAGGGAAGATAATTGGGCCTGTTTTGCAATATACAGAGATTTTGAGAGGTGAAAAAGGTGTTTCTTTTGGCTCTGCAAAACTTAACAGTTAACTTGCAGGGCAACTTAACTTGCCCTTTTACATGAAACATCATGTGAAATCCATAGCTTTGCCTCCCTCTATTCGCATTCTGGGAAGACACACAAAGGAATTGTGTGTGTGTGTGTGGGAGGGGATGGTGGCAGCCCCTGGACCACAGTTTCCTCTGTCCCTATTCTGAAATACAGGGAGTCCTCAACTTACTACAGTTCACTTAAGTGACCAAAGTTACAATGGCATTGAAAAAAGTGACTTATGACCATTTTTCACACTTATGACCGTTGCAGCATCCCCATGGCCAGGTGATCAAAATCCGCTTGGCAACTGGCATGTACTTATGATGGCTGCAGTGTCCCGGGGTCACATTTTTGCGACCTTCTGACAAGCAAAGTCAATGGGGAAGCCAGATTCACTTAACAACCGTGTTCCTAACTGAACAGCTGCAGTGATTCGCTTAACAAATGCGACAAGAAAAGTAAAATGGGACAAAACTCACTTAACAAATTTCTCACTTAGCAAACAAATTCTGGGCTCAATTATGGTCATAAGTTGAGGACTACCGGTATAGGGGAGGGTTTAGTTTAGACTCATCCTGTTTGCAACCCCTACCTAATTTTTTGAAGTTCTCCAAGATCAGACACGTGCAACTTGGAGGTGGAAGGAAGGGTCTTGATGAGAAGGGAAGGGAGGGAGGAAGGAGGGAGGGAAGGAGGGAAGGAAGGGTCTTGATGAGAAGGGAAGGAAGGAAGGGAGGGAGGAAGGGAAGGAAGGGTCTTGATGAGAAGGGAAGGGAGGGAGGGAGGAAGGAAGGAGGGAAAGAAGGAAGGAAGGGTCTTGGTGAGAAAAGAAGGAAAGAAGGGAGAAAAGGAAGGAAGGAAGGATGGAAGGAAGGAAGGGTCTTGGTGAGAAGGGAAGGAAGGGAGGGAGGAAGGGAGGGTTTTGATGAGAAAAGAAGGAAGGAAGGAATGAAGGGAGAGAGGGAGGGAGGAAGGAGGGAAGGAAGGAAGGGTTAACAAAGAAAAGTCCACCCTGATTCAATGCCTGAGCTTCTTGGAATCTGAAGAATGCGGCGTTCCGATCAAAAGCTCAGCCAGTGGCACAACTGAACCCCCCTCCTCCCCACTGCCCAAGAGTCACATCACTCTTATGGAAGCCCCACCTTACCAAGAGGGAAGGTGATTTGGTCACACATGCCCAGGAGCTGCCCAAAGTAGATCTTGTTCTCCGAGGGGTGGATGCTAAGATCTGCCATCCTGAAGAAGAAGAAGAAACTGTTTCAGAAGACAACCCAACGGGTTCCAGATGTGCTCTTCCACCTAATTCTAGAATAGCCTTCCCCAACTCCCCCTCCCCTCTTCCAGGTGTGCAGACACCATCTCACAGAGTGTCCAGAGTCAGAGGGCCATTGCTTGAGAATTCTAGGAGGGGAATTCAGGCTTCCTCAGATAGGAGAACTGCGGACGGGGGCTCTAGAGCTCTAGGACTTCAACTCCCAGAATTCCCCAGTCAGGGTCTCCAACAGGGAATTCTGGGAGTTGAAGTCCTCCAGGCTTAAAGTTCCCAAGGTTGGAGACCTCTGCTCAAGAGATCCAACAGCAAGAGACAGATGCTGTGGCAGAAGAAATATTTAGATTAAATAAACACAGTAAAAGGAGTTGCAAGATACCAGAGGAGACGCGGGAAAGATTCATCCAAAAAGTTTTTGGCCTCCCTTTTTTTGGGCCGTTTTCGGGGCTTTTTTTGGCCTGTTTTTTCAGAAAAAGGCAGAAAAAAGGCCCCAAAATGGGCCACGCAGAGGCCAATAAATGGCTGGCGGGTGGGTGGGGCTTGGGCAAATATTCTGTCCATAAAACACACAGACATTTTCACCCCCTTTGGTGAGACAAAAAAGTGTGTCTTATGGTCCGAAAAATACGGTAATAAGTGTTGAAAAGGGCAAGAGACGATGGATAGATATAGAATATTTTTTTAACATGGTGGTTATTTTAATAAGTGTTAGAAAAAAGAAGTAGAAATTGGGACAATAGTATTATGTATACTGAAATATAATAGAAGATATAATTGCTACTACGTACACAAATGTTTGAAGTTGAAAAATTACGATTATGCATATACTTAAATGGTAATATTATTATCAGAACTGTATGCAAAGTATATTGACCCAGATAATACGCTGTTCAAGCACTTATGGATGTTAAAAAAAAAACATAAATAAAATTAGATATACATAAAAAGATGGGTTGGTGGGCCTCACGCTGATCAGTACCTGCCAAGGGTGAACTTGACTGTGTCTTTATTGTGAGAAGCGACCATCACATTGGCCTTCCGGCTGTGTCGGACCTCCTCCAGGATGTAGTCCAGGCACCTGCAGGAAAGGTGGATGAAGGTGTCAGATGACCTCCCAGGTGTCCCTTCCCCTCTTAGAGCCTGGGGGCCCGGGACCACCTTCTCCCCACCTGTGGTACATCTCGCTTGTCTTTTCATAGGTTGGGTTGATGGGGTCCTCGTAGCCCACTTCGGCTGCCCGACTTCGTTCCTGGTCCATGTAGGCGCCTCTCACTAGCTTGGCTCCAAAATGCCACCCTTCGCGGCGCGAGAGCTCCACATCGATGGTCACGTTATCGTAGGCCTCCTGTTTGGAGGGAGAGAAGAGGAGGAGGAGGAAGAGGAAGAAGACAGGAAGAGGAAGAAGAGAGGAAGAGGAAGAAGAGGAGGAGGAAAAAGGAGGAGGAGGAAGAAGAGGAGGAGGAAGAGGAGAAGTGCAAGTGGAAGAAGAAGGAGGAGGAAGAAGTAGAAGAGAAGGAGGAGGAAGAGGAGGAGGAAAAAGTGGAAGAGGAGGAGGAAGAGGAGGAAGAAGTGGAAGAGGAGGAGAAGGAGGATGAGGAGGAAGGAGGAGGAAGAGGATGCAGTGGCTGAGAATCTGCTGGGCCAGGAAAGTGCCTTCAAATGTACTTTGAAGGTTTCCAAGGCCAAACAGGATTCTCCTGGCAGTTATAATCCAAAGACCTTGAGATCCTTTGTAAAAATTAACTAAATTTTATATTAGTGGATGAAGGTCCTCTCCACGCTGCTCTATTCCAGCATCATCTACTTAGCCCAATATCTGGTGATGAGGGGTAACCAGGAAAGGCCTTTGAACAGATCATAAAGGATGAGTGATCTTTATATTCTGCAGATCCCAATGAACATTTCAATTTGTTCATTATTTATGTGTTCATTCAACACTTCAAGGAGAGAAGCAACTGAGGACTAAGGAGGAATTTCCTGACAATCAGAACAATTAATCAATGGAACAACTTGCCTCCAGAAGTTGTAAATGCTCCAACACTGGAAGTTTTTAAGAAGAGATTGGACAACCATTTGTCTCAAGTGGTGTAGGGTTTCCTGCCTAAGCAGGGGGTTGGACTAGAAGACCTCCAAGGTCCCTTCCAACTCTAGTTATTCTGTATTCTAAATATGATCTGATTTAGGATTGTTTAGTTAAAAAAAAAAAAGTTAGAATTCCTTATAAATAAATTCAATTTTCAATATATCTCGAATCTTTTTTCCTCCAGTATTCCTGTCATCCATTAGTGCCACCTGTCTGCTTCAGCTGTTTTGGCCAGTGTGTGTGTGTGTGTGTGTGGGCAGGTTGGCAACTGTTTTGGGCTCGTAAGTCAGGTTGGACCTGATCAAAACTTGGGTAGGAGACCACCAGGAAATCTCACCTTCAGGTAGCACTGGTACGTGTTGAAGATGGCCGGCCTCTCCTGGTTGAATCGGCGTTGCATCTCCAAGGTGAGGCGGCTGATGGCTGGCTGGAAGTAGGTCTGTTCTGCGTCCACCATCAACCTCACGCCCACCCCGACAGCTTTCTTAAAAGGAAGAGTAAAAAAGGACGACGAACACTTAAATCACCTGAATAGGAGCCAGCCGTGTGCAACAGCAGCCAAAAAACGCAAATACAATCCTTGGTTGTATAAACAGAGCCTTGATAGTACAGGGGTTTAGTGCACCCTGTAATTAACACAGCTGCCTGCAATTTCTGCTGGTTCGAATCTCTCCAAGGCTCAAGGTTGACTCAGCCTTCCATCCTTTCTAAGGTAGGTAAATTGAGGACCCAGTTTGTGGGGGCAATAAGCTGACTTTGTATAAAACATACAAAAGGATGAAGGCTATTGCTTAACGCATTGTAAGCCGCCCTGAGTCTCCGGAGAAGGGCGGCATATAAATCGAATTAAAAAAAAACAAAACAAAAAAAAAACAGAGGCATAGAATCAAAATGACTTGGAGTATTAGTACCGCTTTATAAATCTTTAGTAAGGCCCCATCTGGAATACGGCATCCAGTTTTGGTTACCACATTACAAAAAACGATGTTGAGACTTTGGAAAAAGTGCAGAGAAGAGCAACTGAGATGATTAAAGGCCTGGAGGCTAAAAACATACGAAGCAGGATTTGGGTCTGGCTAATCCAGAGAAGAGAAGGACTTGAGGGGGATGGGACATGATAGCAGTCTTCCAGTATTTGAGTATCTGCCCCAAAGAAGAGGGGGTCAACTATTTTCCAAAGTACCAGAAGGCAAGAGAAGAAACAAACAATGGAAACTAACCAAGCAACCTAGAACTAAGGAGAAGCTTCCTAACAGTGAGGACAATTAACCAGTGGAACAGAAGTTGCCTTGAGAAGTTGTGGGAGCTTCATCACTGGAGGTTTTTAAGAAAATACTGGACAGCCACATGTCTGAAATGCTATAGGGCAGGGGTGTCAAACTCTATTTCATTGAGGGCTGCATCACGGTTCTGTTTGACCTCGGGGGGGGGGGCAGGGTGAGTGTGGCCAGGGTGGGCATGGCCAGCATGACATCACTCATGTCAGTGGGCGCCTGTGGTGGTCTTGAGTGCTCTGCCAGTGAAAATGGGCTCCCGAGGACCGTTTTCGGCTGGGACGGCCTCCTGCAACCCTCTGCCAGCGAAAAAGTAGCGCAGGAGGGCTGCGTGTGGCCCTCACAAGCTCTGTTTTTGCTGGCAGAGGCACTGCAGGCCGGTCCTTCACTATTTCCAGGGCGGCCCTGCGGGCCAGAACTAAGCACCCCGCAGGCCAGATCCAGACCCCGGGCCTTGAGTTTGACACCCCTAGTATAGGGTCTCCTGCTTGAGCAGGGGGCTGGACTAGAAGACCTCCAAGGTCCCGTCCTTCCAACTGTAGCCTGATTAACAAGTGTGCCCATTGAATGCGCTACCTAAAAACCAATACTTTGACAAAGCACTTAATACCAATCAAGATTGGCCCATTCTTTGAATGCTCTTGGGAACTCTTGGGAAACAGGGGATTTCTTTTCCTCGTTTTGCTCTGGGGTTTCTCCCCCAGTTTGCTCCGTGAGCCACCCTCCAAGTGGCTTGCAGCCTTTGCTGCTGGCTTCTGTGGGACCGAAGCAAAACCACTGGGCCGCTTGCATTGAAGGCAAAAGCAGCAATCAACCTGATCCAGCAGGGACAAGAGGGAGGAGGGGGAGGGGAGGGGGAGCTGCAAAAGCAGAGGAAGGCCCCCCATTCCCCTCCAGGTTGCTCCCAGAAGTTGCTCCGGGGAGAACCACAACCTTGGTTCCAAGCCGGGGATTTGCCTCCCCTCTGCGACCCCGTAAGACAGGGGTGTCATTGATTTCATTGAGGGCCACATTAGGGTTGTGTTTGACCTTGGGGGGGGGGCTGGGGGGTGTGTGGCCAGCTCGATGTCACTTGTGTCGGGGGCACCTGTGGCCCGGGCGGGAGTGGGGGGTTCCTTCCATCCGTCCTCCTGAGCTCGGTAAAATTAGGACCCAGATTGTTGGGGCCAAGAGGTTGATTCTGGAAATCGCTTAGAAAGGGCTTTCAAGCACCATGAAGCAGTATATAAGTCTAAGGGCCTTTTCTTTCTTTCTTTCTTTCTTTCTTTCTTTCTTTCTTTCTTTCTTTTTCTTTCTTTCTTTCTCTCTCTCTCTCTTTCTCTCTCTCTCTCTCTCTTTCTTTCTTTCTTTCTTTCTCCCTTCCTCCCTCCTTCCCTTCCTTCCTTCCGCTTAGAATGCAGTATTGCAGGCTAACTGCCTGCTGCCAGGAGTTTTGATCCTCACTGGCTCAATGTTGTTTCAGCCTTCCATCCTTCCGAGGTCGGTAAAATGAGGACCCCGATTGTTGGGGCAATAGGCTGACTCTGTAAACCACTTAGAGAGGGCTGTAAAAGCATTGTGAAGCCTGCCTTCCTTCCTTCCTTCCTTCCTTCCTTCCTTCCTTCCTTCCTTCCTTCCTTCCTTCCTTCCTTCCTTCTTCCCTCCCCCCTCCCTCCCTCTTCTTCTTTTTCCTTCCCTCTTCATTCTCCTTTCTTCTTCCTTCCCCTCTTTCCTTCCTTGCTCTCTTCCCATCTTCCCATCTTTCCCTTTCTCCTTTCCTGTCCCCCTGGGCCCTGTTTTCACTGGCAGAGGGCTGCAGGAGGCCGTCACAGCTGAAAACAGAGCCCAGGAGGGCCGTTTTCACGGGTAGAGGCACTGTGGGCCGGTCCTTCACCGTTTTCAGGGCGGCTCTCGTGGGCCAGATCTAAGCATCCCATGGCCGGATTCGGCCCATGGGCCTCGAGTTTGACACCCCTATTGTAAGAGATGCTTTGAGCAGCTTGTCTGCTGTTGCTCCATTGATCCCCAAAGCAGAAACGGGGGTGGGGGTCTCACCTTGGCCAGGACGTCCATGCGCTGCAACATGCGCTTCATCTGCCTCTCCTCTTCCTGGGTGAAGCGAGAGAGGAGCGGCTCAAGCTGGCCTGTCTGAGAGGGTTGAGAGATGAGATTAGAAAGTATTTCCAGACATAAAAATGGAGCTTGAGGACATTCTTCACTGGAATAGTTCTGGGTTTTTGGTGAAGGGAATTGCTGGGGAATATTAATAAACCCACTAGCCCATGTGCATGTGAGCGAGTGGGACAGCACACCCTCTGCATGCAAACATCCGAACTGCTTTGATGGGTCCACCTGATTTGCTCAAATCTAGTCTCCAGGTCTAATTTTTGCACAGCTATAACGAAAACCAAGCTCGGCCTTAAAGAGCCTGCCGTGGCCTTGAAGCCCAGAGATCAGGGGTGGGATTGAGCCAGTTCTGACTGGTTCAGGCGAACTGGATATTAATTTTAATCTGGTTCGGCGAACCGGTTGTTCCAAGGACTGGCTGACCACGCCCACCCCACCACGTCCCTCCCAGGAGTCTCCACGCGGCCTGTTTTAGATGCCAGGTAAGTGCAGGGCACACGCAGAGGCTCTGGGAGGGCGAAAAACGGGCCTACTGGAAGTCTGGAAATGAGCCCATTTCCGGCCTCTGGAGGACCTCCAATGCCCAGGGAGGCCGTTTTTGCCCTCCTGTAGGCTACAGGAAAGCCTCTGGAACCTGGGGAGGGTGAAAACCGGGCCTACTGGAAATACCGGATGTGGGCCCATTTCTGGACTCCAGAGGGCACACGAAGCGAACTGGTTGTTACAACCGGTGAATCCCACCACTGCCAGAGATGGATGGTGGGCTGGCTCCCAGGAGACCCTGTTCTCCCTGCCCTACCCCAATGGCCAACACACGTTGCATCTGTCCAAGCCACTGAGAGATCAGCAAATGTGGCTCGTCTCCCAATAAAATAGGCTTGTCGTTGTAACGGTGGCTCTGAATGGGGGTGGTGGTAGTGGGTGGTGGTGGGGAGGAGGAGGGAGAAGGGAGGAAGGAGCCACAGATGCTCCCAACTGCCAGTCAAAGACCTTCCTGGTCCTTTATCTTTTCTGTCCATTATTTTCTTCCAGCAGAAGGTGAAGGAGCCATTCCTGACATATTTAAAAGCTGGCCCAAGGATGCCTTTTCTGCAGCCGGTTCAGAACACAGGAAGTGAAGGCTCCACCCTGCTCCTTGCTCAGCTGCAGAGGGGAGATTACACGCGTGCCACGAGTGGCTTGATACGAGATGGGCAGCGTTATCAATTTAGTGAATAAAATTTAAAAATAAACAAACCACCACTCCTACTGCATGCTGCGAACGTGCCTCACAGACCTTGTGAAGTGAATGGACGTTCCTATGCAGATGTTTGCAGCCCTGACATTTACTGGGGGCAGTGGGGGGGGAGGGGGAACAACTCACTGAGGACTAGCAACTTTAGACAAACAACTGAAGGCAGGGGGAAAAAAAAAACATGCAGCCTTTCTATATTTGGGGGGGAGGGGGGATTTTAAAACTGCAGCTCCCTAAAGCCAGCGTTTCTCAACCGTGGCAACTTCAAAAGGCTATGCTGGCTGGAGAATTCTGGGAATTGAAGTCCAGACACCTTAAAGTTGCCACTGTCCTAAACCAAGAAATGCGTGGTCCAAATGTCGATCCAGAAGTCTCCTAAAAGTGCTACATTCCCCCACCTCTCCATCACAGCCAAGAACTTCCTCGCTGTTATGGCCCACCAGCGGCCTGTGCAGATAGTAGCTGATTCCGACAGCGAGGAGGCTGGTGTGGTGCTGTGCCAGCAGCCTGTGCAGCTGGCACTCGAGTCGGACAATGAGGAGGCTGGAGAAGATGTGGTGCCAGAGGCGGGGATTCAGCCAGGGCCTTCAGAACCTCCAGAAGCTTCCATAAGTGAAGAGGAAGAAGAGGAGGAGCCTCTTCTCAATGCACGGGCGCGCAGAGCTGCCAAAAGGCAGGAGTGGCTCCTCAGGAGGAGGTCTCCTCGAGAGTAAGGCTTGGGGCTAATTGGCCACTCCCTTAGCCTATTTAAGGAATGATGACGACTGAGGCAATTTGCAGAAAACAACTTCGTTCATATTCTTTCACGTGTTGACTCCAGCAACGTCTGATCGGCTCTTGCTTCTCTCTTATCATTTTTCCTGCAAATTGCTTCTGGGCATTCTGCCAACCACAGTAAGCTTACGGTTATCTGAAAGACTGTACCTCAGAATTGAGTTATTATTTCTTGGACTCTTGTCGGCTGTTAATGAAGTTAAATTAACAGCCCTTGTTCAGAAAAGACTGATTTAAACTGTACTTGTATTTGAACAACTACTAAGAAAGCTCATTAGTAGTCCTTAACTAAGGTTTGTACGGACTGTGTGTGTGCTGCGTTCTTTGTGGTCTGTAGCTGGGGCAGAACACTCGCAGGTCTGGTGTGTTTACCTTCAGGTTTGGAACAAGCAGGAGTTTGGAAATCTCCATCCGGCCATCGATCAAACTATTCCAGTCCAGCAAGTCCACCGTTCTGAGAAAAAGATATTGATGACAAGCTCTGTTGAGTGGAGGGGGTGGAGAACAGCAGCCCACCCATCCCAATTTTTATCTGGAGGAACTGGGGCTGGCTAGATGTGTCAGAGAATTTAGGAACCAATGCTGATTTTTGCAGCTCCCATAATCTCTCCTGCCTCCCATCTCTGCTTCCTGCAACACCATCCAGCATCCTTTCATAAAAACGCTCAGCTTCACATGTTAATTGCCCAAATGTCCATTTCTACAGGAAAAGGAAAGTATCTAAAGAGTATTTGTCTCATGGAATAAGAAGAGAAAGTAAGAACATCCTGGGAACTGCATTAACCAGCAACAGAATCATAGAATAACAGGGCTGGATGGGACTTTGGAGGTCTTCTAATCCACCGTCATGCCCAGGCAGGAGACCTTATTCCACCTAGGACAAATGGTTATCCGGAGCTGCACTTACCCCGTCAGGCCCAATTTCTCGCCCGTGAACCACTGGTGGCTCTCGGCTTTGGTGGCAATCCCCAGGTTGGCCAACGCCTCCTGCCAGAACCAAAAAGAGCCCCTTCAGTCCTACAGGTCCCGGTCTTATTCTGTTTTTTGTTTGTTTGTTTGTTTCAAGTTTTTTTATTTTGTTTTATATATATGTATCAATGCGTGAACAGTGTGGCACCTGGATGTCATACCTTCTAATACAAATAAAACTAGTAGAATTAATCATAGTTATTACTTTCCACCAACTTATATATTTCTAATAATAACACACATTTATACCGTGTTTCCCCGAAAATAAGACCTGGTCTTATATTAATTTTTGCTCCAAAAGAAGCATTAGGGCTTATTTTCTGCTTAGGTCTTATTTTTGGGGAAAATACAGTACTAAATGCATCCATCCGGCTGACAATCTTAACTAGGGCTTATTTTGGGGGGTAGGGCTTGTAATTACAAGCATCCTGAAAAATCATTTTCCAGTTCTGTTCTTATTTTTGGGGAAACAGGGTATTAAGTTGTAGACTGTCATTATTCAATTATTCCATGTTTTCTCTTGTTATTGCTCAGGTCTTATTCTTGAAGTGGGTCTTGTGCCAAGCACGAATCAGGTTAGGGATGGAAACAGGCCAGCATTCATGCCTTGTTCAGATCTCATCAACGGAAACATCTGAATGCTGGAATGAACCGTTCTGACTTCATCAGAATTGGTTCCATTGTTTTAGTGGACAGTTCAGACTGGTTTTTTGGCCTGGGAATGGAGCTTTCTGACCACCAGTGAACCCTGTAGAGCAAGGGTGTCAAACTCAATTTCATTGAAGGTCCCATCAGGGTTGTGTTTGACCTCGGAGGGCCAGGATGGGTGTGGCCAGCTCGACGTCACTCGTGTTGGGGGCTCCTATGGTAGTCAAGTGCTAAGGCAGGACTTCCCTCAGACCCTTCCTCACATTATAATCTCCTTCCTTCCTTCTTTCCTTCCTTCCTCCTTCTCCTTTCTTCCCCTCTTTCCTTATTTTTTCTTCCTTGCCCTTTTCCCATCTTCCCATCTTTTTCTTTTTCTTTCCTCTTTCTCCTTTCTTGTCCCTTCTTGGATGCTCAAATGCAAAAGGGGAAACATTTCTCCTCTTCTTTTATATTTAGTTTCTTTTGATAGCCCACTGCCAGCGAAAACAAGAGCTTGGGGGAAGCCACACACGGCCCCTCTGGGCCCCGTTTTCAGCCACGACGGCCTCTTGCAGCCCTCTGCCAGCAAAAATGGAGCTCGGGGGCAACACGCGCCCCCCCGGGCCCTGTTTTTGGCCACCACGGCCTCCTGAAGCCCTCTGACAGTGAAAATGGAGCTTGGGGGGCTGCGTGTGGCTCTCTGGGCCTCCTTTTCCCTGGCAGAGGCACCACAGGCCAGTCCTTTGCTGTTTCCAGGACAGCCCCGCAGGCCAGATCTAGGCACTCCGCGTGTGCCAAATCCCACGCAGGCCTTGAGTTTGACACCCCTGCGGTAAGAGCCACATCAAGGTCAGAAATTCGGATCTTGGTGTATTTTGTACCATCTCCATTTATGGACATGGGCATCTTCCCAGCTCTCACCCACCAGCCAACAGAGTCCAAGCTGTTTGGTTAGGAGCTGTGGGAAATAAAGCTCAAAAAAAGGGGGAGCGTCAGATAGTGAGTGAAAAGAAGGGGGGTGAACGGAGCAGCCCGGGGCCTTAGAGCCACAGGCAGCCTTTGCAAAATCTTCCCCTCCTGGTAGCCCAGCAGAAGAAAAGAGACAAAATAGGAGAGGAAAAGGGGATGGAAAACGTTTGCAGGTTAACAATCTCTACGTTTCAAGACTTCAATTTCCGGGGAAGAGCTTAGGGCAGTGGTCCTCAACCTTTGTGGCTTGGTGGCCTGGCTGGGGCGGGGAACTGGGCCGCACAAGTGGCAGGCTGACGCATACACGCATGTGCAAGCAGCAACTTGTGCAAGTTGAACTGTGTGCGCACTGGCCTGCCACTCACATGGCCTGGTTCTGAATAGGCTATGCTGCAGTTGTGGTCTGTGGGTTGTGGATCCTTGGCTTAAGGCAGGAAAAGCCCCTCTACAGCCAAGTCAAAAGGAGATAACTCCAGTTTTGCTTCCAGCATCTGTTTCCCAACAGGTGTTTCCTCTCAATGCAGAAATTGGGACTCCTTTAGCCAACTCCGTTTTGCTAACCCCGCCCATCAGAAACTCACCTGCAGCTTCTCTACCTCCAGCTTGGTTTCCAGAGCTGCCAAGCCCACCTTGCCCTGTTCGGCAGCCAGTTGGTGGAAGAAGCTTCTCCATTTCACCAGAACCTCCGAGAACTGCAGCTGGAGGCAAGCAGAGACCGAGTGAACAGCCCTGTTTTGAGTTCAAACTCTCGCACCACATCCCTGAGAGGCCTGGTCAGTCCAGGGAACGTCCCCTGCATTGACCAGGAACCTCGAAGGAGCCTTGGTGGTTCAGGCTTCTTGAATAAGTGTTTAGCTGTCAATGAGGAAAGGCAAACTATTGCCCTGGAGTAGCAAAGAAATTTTTAAAAAATCACCCTCATTTAACGACCCCATAATCCCTTGCGGGGTGGAATCAGGGCGACCAAATGGAGCTGAGCGTTTACTGGCCGGATGCCCTTCCTGACACCTACATCGTGTTCACAGCAGACAATTTTTACTCATGGTGCCCAGAGAGAGAGAAATATCTGCTGTTACCGAGGACCAAACTTACAACCTCCTGATTGTGAGGCGAGAGCTCCACCTCTAGGTTACCACGCTGCTCACATTAAGGATTAAATGGTGATGGGGCAGCAAGGAGCCCCATAGGGAGCCTGGATAGCTCTGCAGACTAAAAGCACTGTAATTTAACACCAGCTGTCTGCAATTAAAGTAAGTTCGAATCTTGCCAGGCTCAAGGTTGACTCAGCCTTCCATCCTTTCTAAGGTAGGTAAATTGAGGACCCGGTTTGTGGGGGCAATAAGCTGACTTTGTATAAAAAATATACAAAAGTATGAAGGCTATTGCTTAATGCACTGTAAGCCGCCCTGAGTCTCCGGAGAAGGGTGGCATATAAATCAAATAAAAAAAAAAAAGGAGCCAAGAAACCAAACAATACCTATCCAGACCAGGTGGTCACATACCAAGAACTGTGGCCTCCCCAGCGCTGTGAGTTTGATGGCAGAGAAACCGTCTTCTGAACTTCCTCCTAAAAAAACGACAAGAGTTAGTTCTTGGGGCCTTTCGGGTCCAGAAAAATCATCCGCCAAAGGGGACCTCTGAGTATCTCCTTCCTTGAAGTCCACAAGTCTTCAAGTTGCCAAAGATGGCAGATCTAGAAGGAGATCTAGATCTCCTCTGAGCACATCAGCTTCCACTAGTGGAACTGAACAGCAGCAGGGAAGTTGACAAGAAAACCGGCAAGATGTTTGAGGGCAGCCAAAGTGGAGGAGGCAGCGCCAGCTCTGCTTGGACTCCAACTCCCCTCATCTCTCCCCCTCCCGATTGGCCTGATCCTAGGTCAGAGGGGCTCAACCTTTTCTATACCCTGCACCCCTAGAATGGTTCTGATATATTCTTACAAAAATAATGATATGAATATAATTATTTCGGGACCGCCTTCTGCCGCCGATAGCCTCCACCGGCCAGTACGCTCCCACAGAGAGGGACTCCTCAGGGTGCCGTCAGCCAGGCAATGTCGGCTGGCGACCCCCAGGGGGAGGGCCTTCTCTATGGCAGCTCCTGCCCTTTGGAACGATTTGCCCCCGGCGATACGAAGGATATCGGATCTCCAGATTTTTCGCCGTGCCCTAAAAACTTTTCTTTTCCATCAAGCAGGGCTGGCGTGAAACCCCCCCCCCCTTTTTAGCCTTTTTTAGCTTTTTAAATTGTCAAATGGGTTTTAGTTTTCAATGTTTTAAATTTTGGGCCAAAGTCATGTAATTCTTTTAAAAATTTTAAATTTTGTATTGGTATGTGTTTTAGTTCTGGCTGTGCATCGCCCTGAGTCCACTAGGAGAAAGGCGGTATACAAATTGAATAAAATAAATAAATAAATAAAATAAATTATGTATATACACCAGGGGTGGGCTTCAAAAGTTTAGCAAGGGGTTCTCTGCCTGGTTGCTGGGTAGGTGTGGCCATTGTGGGTGTGGCTTATTGGCCTCCTGCACCATGGCAGTGCGGGGGGCGTTTTTGCCCTCCATGGGCTCCAGCGTCTTTCCTCGAGCCACTGGGGAGGGCGAAAACAGCCTCCCCAGGCTCCAGACTTCCCAAACTTCTGGTAGGCCTGTTTTTCACCCTCTCTGAGCCTCTGTGCCCACCCTGCACTTACCTGCATCCAAAATGGGTCGCATGAGGACTCCTGGGAGGGGAGGCACAGGGTGGGCGGGGCCAGCCAGAAGTGGGATTTGTGGGTTCTCCGGACTGCAGAGAATCTTAGCTAGAGGTTCTCCCGAACCCCTGTGAACCCCCAGCGGCCCACTCCTGATATACTCTATAATTTTGAAACTTCTAAACTGAAATGTTTGAAACTTTCGCACCCCCTGGCATATCATCTCGCACCCCCAGTTGGGAACCCCTGTCCTAGGTCATCATCTAGGGCCACACATTTGCCCATCCCAGCTTGGAAGGTATGTACAAGGGAGATCCTGCATCCTTTTGCTCTTCCCATAGGAGGAAGCACCTTCGATTTGGGGGAGGGTGACCTGCCTCCCCCTCCTCCGAAGGCTGCTCAGCTGCTCACCTGAGGCCTCGATGCATTTCAGGAATGTCTCCATGTGCCGGTCGCATTTGGCTTCATCGGCATAGAAGTAGGTTCGGGCACCAGTGACGCCATCCCGCCGGTCCCCAAACTTGTGATGGACGCTGTAGCGTTTCTCTCTTTGCTCTGGAAAGGAAAGCCAGCAGGGAGGGAGACCCCTTAGAAGCCCCCCAGAAGCTCCAGCCACTTTGGACCCCCAAGCCACGCCAAGCCCTCCTCCCCCGCCTCAAAGCAATTTTATGAAATGCTCAGCTGAGAAACCTGGGTGACAATCCTTGTTAGTTATAATGGTTTAACTTGGTTGCCTTTGTGTGTGTGTGGGTCTCCCACATGGGCTAAATCTGCTTACACTCCTGAGGTGGAGCAAAATCAGCCAGGTGTCAGACCTGGAAACCATCTTTTACAGTTGGGCCTTCAGGCCTGCCACATTTTTCTACTGTGGGAAAATGGGAGAGGGGATTGTATAGAGACATGGGTGATATGTAGTCAAAATAACATTCTTTTCTCAGAGAGTCAAGGCCACGGTGCCATGAGGGGACTGGTTGGTATCTTCAGCTTTGGATGGTGCCTGATTGGACCATGTGATGGACATGTGGCAGAAACTTGGACTTTCCCTTGGGTGGGGAAAACCTGGAAGCTTTCAGATTCGGGTTTTCCCAGATGTGCCAATATAACATCTCTAATAAAATGGAACTTTGAGGAAATTAAAACCTCGAAGTCTTCTTTTGTTGATGGTGTTTCTTGGAACCCTGACACCAGGCCAAAAGGTGACCAAGCCTGGATGAGAGGCATCCATTTTGGGGCCCCCAGAGCCCCTTGCAAGGAACCAGGGCCAGGAACCTCTTAGCCCTTCGGGCCAGTTTTTCTCTGAGCACATTTGGGGAGCTAAGGAACAAAGAGAGCAGCTATTTACTGGTTCAGAATTCCTACCTCCCCCCTGGAAAAGAGCTGGGGCCCCACCACTTTGGGTATGTGCACACCCCTTGACGTGCCATGAAAAGACCCCAAAGGGCCTCTAGCTCTACAGCTTCTTCCGGAGCTCCCTGGGGGCTCTCCGGTCAGCAGCCCTTGGTCAAAATGTCTATGGAGATTCTCAGTCATCCAGTCATGGTTGTCCCAAAGAGGCTTTGTTTTTCAAGAGGCAACTGGACTTTCTGGTTTTTTCTTTGAAGACTTCTTCTCATCCAAGAAGCTTCTTCAGCTCTGACTGGATGGCAGGGAATGGAAGGATTTATACTCCTTGCAGACAGCTGGTTATTTGCATCTGTTGTGACCCCGACTCCCGAGCCTGTCCTAACAGAGGAAGAAGACTCAGAAGATGATGGGGAGGAACTGACAAGGCCTCCCTCTCCAGGACCCTCCTCTCTGGCAATGCCTCAGGTTCCATCTGAAGACCAAGAGGAACAGCCTGGGATGTGCCAGGAGGAAAGCATATCGGAACAACAGATAGGGAGCGAGGATGATGAATCCTGGCTTGATCTCAGGCAGCGTCGGAGGGAGAAGCATGCGCAGCAACGAAAGAGGCGTGGGAGGGCCAGAGATTGAGCTGAGTCACTGAGCCACACCCCACAAGGAATAAAAGTGGGTGTGATTGCTCTTCAGGCTTTGTGACGGTCGAAGTTAAAAACCTGAGAGTCACATCGCGTTACCTGAAATCTGGCTTGTCCATATTTGGATTGGACTCTTGCTTCGTGGATTACTTTTTTGCTACTGAACCGGACTGAGAATAAACTCTCTCTTGCAAACTGTGAGTGGAAACTGATTTGGCAGGCATTTTGCAGTTTACTGCCAAAACTCTTTATCTGCAAGAGTTTCTAGTCTGATTGCTTAATAAAATCTTGGCAGGCGTGCCTGGCTGTGTGTTTGCCTGTGTGGGGAAGGGGGACAGAACAGCATCCTTTGAGTCATTGAGGCCACTTGGAGTTCGTCTGTGTCCTCAGGGTCACCAGAGTGGTGCAAATGGGTGTGGAGGCTTCTTGGAACAGCTGAAAGGACTGTGTTGTAGACTGGAGATAGATGATGTCATATCCCTCCCCCTCTATTGAGAGAGGGCTGTTCAGGTGACTGACTATACAGATAAACCTCCAGGTGGCCTCAACGACCCTCTCAAAGGATGCAAATGTCCAAGCTGTCTGCAAGGAGTATAAATCCTTCCATTCTCCCAGTCGGAGCTGAAGAAGCTTCTTGGATGTGAAGCGAAATGTCTTCAAAAAAAACAACAAAAAATCAAGGAACTCCAGTTGCCTCTTGAAGAAAAAGGCACCTTTGGGACTCTTGGATCAAAAGCAACTAGAGAGAAAACGTTGCGCTTCTTAGCTGCAGGGGCAAAAAAGCAACAAGGCCAAAATCTTCCTAGCCCCCCACCCCCACCCCCAAAGGGCAGGCTGGAGACCCCAAACAAGCGGTGGGACGTTTAAAGAGGCCAGAGCATTCCGCAGCAACTTTACTTACTGCCTGTCTCCTTCTCAAATGCAGAGACGCAGGAGCTGGGAAGGAAGGAAGGAAGAAAGAAAAACTTTATGGGTCTCCAGGCTACGCATTCCCAAGTCACTCACTCTGCAAGCACTCAACGCAGCCCAGACGAGGGGACCACAGCTGGCCTCAGGCCGACAACTGGCCACAGGCCACCGGAAGAATTAGGACTGGGGTCTGCCAGCCTACGTTACAATGTAAATTTGGCAAAAGCAGAATATGTGGGCTTTGCAGTCAAATCCTCCAGGGCTTATAACAAGGAAAGAGTTAGGGCAGAGGTCTTCAAACTTGGCAGCTTTAAGACTTGTGGATTTCAACTCCCAGAATTCTCCAGCCAGCTAAGGTTGCAGACCCCTGCCCTAAGTAGAAGGTTGGCTTCGTGGACCTCTAAGGCCCCTTCGGTCTTCTGAGTTTAATCCAGGAATCTGGGATTTAACCGGGACTGCAGTCTTCACATTGGAAAGCGGAAAACAGAGAGGAATGCACAAGAAGGGGGAGGGGGAATGGGGAGGGCAGCTGCCGATGCCGCAACAACAGACGGAGACCCTCCCCAAGTGAAAGCCTATTAGGCCAAAGCAGAAGCTCCAGAGAGCTTTTGGGGAATTTTGCAACCCGAGGAGTTGCAAGAAACCTGGGCGGTTCATTCCCTGCCTAACCAGAAATCTTGTGACTCAGAGGAGCTGCTGGAATTCGCAATGCTTTGTCTAAGAAGATTAAGAAAAGGGGAGGGGGGGGTAAGCGAAGGAGTTGGCTATCCCTCCTCCAGATCCACTTCCAAGGGCAGCTGCATGATGGGAGCGTCTGTATTGCAATCCCCCCCCCGTCCCCTCCCCAAGTCTACTCCACTATGTTTTCACAGTGAGGTCCAAGATAGGATCCTGGCTGGCTGGGTAGTTTCGTAATAACGGCCTTACCAGATCTTGATTAAATAGCAGCATTCCAATATCTAAAGCAGGGGTCTCCAACCTTGGCAACTTTAAGCCTGGCGGACTTCAACTCCCAGAATTCCCCAGCCAGCTTTGCTTTGCTGGGGAATTCTGGGAGTTGAAGTCTGCCAGGCTTAAAGTTGCCAAGGTTGGAGACCCCTGATCTAAAGGGGCTGCCACAAAGAAGAGTGGGGGGTGTCAATTTATTTTCCAAAGCACCAGAAGGCAAGAGAAGAAACAATGGATGGAAACTAATCAAGGAGAGAGAAGCCACCTGGCATTAAGGAGAAACTTCCTAACGGCGAAGACAATTAACTAAGTGGAACAGCTGGCCTTCAGAGGTTATAGGTCAGGGGTGTCAAACTCAACGCCCGTGGCTGGATCTGGCCCGCAGGGACACCCTGGAAACGGCGAGGGACCGGCCTGCAGTGCCTCTGCCACTGAAAACAGAGCTCGGGAGGGCTGCATGTGGCCTTCCTGAGCTCTGTTTTCACCGGCAGAGGGTTGCAGGAGGCTGTCGCAGCTGGAAACGGGAGCTCAGGACTCCATTTTTGCTTTGCCGCCACAGGAGCTCCCCTCCTCCCCCAGGTCAAACACAACCCTGATGCGACCCCTCAATGAAATCGAGTTTGACACCCCTGTTGTAGGTGCTTCATCCCTGGAAGTTTTTAAGAAGAGACTGGACAGCCGCTTGTCTGAAATGGTATAGGGCAGTGATGGCTATCCTTTTTGCCATCACGTGCCAAAAGCGGAGAGAGCGCGGGGGGGTCACACACTCACGTGCCCACACCCATAATTCTATGCACCCCACCCCTGTGCTCATGCTCATGCGCCCCCCCGCGCTCCCCCCACTTTGGCCCGGTGGGCCCAGTAGGTCCATTTTTTGTCCTCCCCAGGCTCCAGAAGCTTTCTAGGGGCCTGGGGAGGGCAAAAACAGCCTCCCCCCACCCCGAGGCTCTCCAGAGGCCAGAAATGGCCCATTTGCCGACTTCCTGTAGGACCAAAAGGCTCGTTTTTTTGCCCTCCCCAGGCTCCAGAGGCTTTCTAGGAGCCTGGGGAGGGCAAAAACAGCCTTCCCAAGGCCCTCCAGAGGCCAGAAATGGCCCATTTGCCGACTTCCTGTGGGACCAAAAGGCTTGTTTTTTGCTTTCCCCAGGCTACAAACCCTTTCTAGGAAGTCTGGAGAGGGCAAAAACAGCCTTACCCCCCACCCCACCAGAGGCTCTCCGGAGTCCGGAAACGGCCTGTTCCCCAACTTCCGGTGGGCCTAGAAGACCTGAAAATCAGTTGGCCAGTGCACGCATGCACGCCAGAGCTGAGCTTGCATGCCCACCGATATGCCTCCGTGTGCCACCTGTGGCACGCGTGCCATAGGTTCGCCATCACGGGTATAGGGTCTCCTGCTTGAGCAGGGGGTTGGACTAGAAGACCTCCAGCGTCCCTTTCAGCCCTGTCCTGATTGGTTCCCGAGCTGTGGAGGCAACTGTTCCTGCGCTCTTGAAGGTTGGGCCAGGTCAAGACAAGTCAGCACTGAACTGGCCCCACATCTGGTGTGTCACCCTAACAGGGAAGAAGTACAGGCTTCATGGTTTAAATAGCTATTTTGAGCATGAACTTCTCTTCTTCCCAATGTCCTGTATTTTTTTTTAAATGGCACCTTATTCAATGAATTCCAAGAATCCCAAAGTGTGCATGCCATTTTCGGTTGTAATAAAAACGCCGTATAGCTGCGCTTTGCACATTTTTCCCACAGTCCAATCCAGCTGTGCCTACTTTTCAAGGTAACTAAAGGTTGTGTCCGTGTATTTCCCAGCAACCTGGCAGCGACTGCTGGCTGAAGTTCCAGCCAAGAAGTGATTAAGCCCTTGACAGCCTTTGACAGGAGCTGTCAGTGCCAGGGCGTGCCTGTATTTCCTCTGGGGCAGGAAAAAACTGCCTGGAAAAGTGACAGAGAAAGCTGATTCAGTTAATCAAGAACTTAAGACCTAAAATGCAAAGTTCCCAGGAGGTTTAGTGATCTAAACAAACAACAAAGAAGAACGGATGGCTTTAGACAAGCTCATTCCAAAGACAAAACTCCACCAAAGTTGGCAGAGACAGTTTTTGTAAAGCACCCATTTGTAGCCCACTGGGGAGTGGGGGGTGGGTGGGAGACTTCCTGTTCCAGAAAGTCCCCTTAATTCAGGCCATCTCCAGCTCAGACAAGGTTGAGGGGTCTCCTTGATGCTCTCTGAGCTCGGTTGTTTCTTTGCAGATGTTTGATTAATCAATCAGAGCAGGAAGGGACCTTGGAGGTCTTCTAGTCCAACCCCCAGCTCAAGCAGGACACCTTATACCACTGCACTGTATATATGCACCGACTCTGGAATTGACCGGGGCCACGCCAAGCCATAGAGTTTGCTCAGTCCTGCCGGAGCTCAGCACAGCCCTTGGACAAATGGACATTACCCCACCCAGCATCCCAGTGAGATCAATCAATAATAGAACTGGAAGGGACCTTGGAGGTCTTCTAGTCCAGCCCCCTGCTCAAGCAGGAGACTTTATACCATTTCAGACAAGTGGCTGCCCAGTCTCTTCTTGAAAACCTCCAGTGATGAAGCACCCACAACTTCTGGTGCCAAGCTGTTCCACTGGTTGATTGTCCTCACTGTTAGGAAGTTTCTCCTTAATTCCAGGTTGTTTCTCTCCTGGATTAGTTTCCATCCATTATTTCTTGTCTTGTCTTTGACCCCCCACATCGTTATAGCAGCCCCTCAAATACTAGAACATTGCTATCACATTACCCCTAGTTCTTCTTTTCTCTAGACTAGATGTACCACTATCCAAACTAGGTAACATCATCTGTGCATTTAACTAAACTACTGTTAAGTAGCACTTAGCTGCCAGTTGCCTGCAATTACTGCGAGTTCAATTCTCACCAGGCTCAAGGTTGACTCAGCCTTCCATCCTTCCGTGGTAGGTAAAATGAGGACCCGGTTTGTGGGGGCAATAACCTGACTTTGTATAAAAAAGAACACCGCTTGGGGGGGCGGGGCCTGAAAGCCCTACTAAGCAGGTATATACAAAAGTATGAAGGCTATTGCTTAAAAGCATTGTAAGCCACCCTGAGTGTCCGGAGAAGGGCGGCATATAAATCGAACTAATAAATAAATAAATAAATAAATGTCTGCAAGGAAACATCCAAGCTCAGAGACACCTCATTTCAACCCTGAGCTACAAATATTCTCCTTTATCGATGGGGGGTGGGGGGGTGGGGAGGAGGATCACCAGATTGTGACCCTCTGACCAAGGACAATTCCCTGGCACATCCCCAACGCTGAAATGAATGGAAGCTTGCAAAACAAAATGCAAAATTTTGCCTCCCTGGAGATCAGATGGCATATAGTGCCAGCCTTGCCAAGAGACGGATTAACTGATCTCGCCAGGCCAAGGCAGAAAGAGGAGCCGGATGAAGAAGGATCTCAGCTCAGCTTTGCACATGCTTCTGGCAGCTGCCTCGCTTGCGTAAGGGATCTGCCTCCCCCGCAGCCAATCCGGGCGAGGGGGCATGCCGCCCCTTGGCCAATTGCAAAGCGGAAGGCTGTTTCTTTGGCAAGTCACGAGGAACACACCGTGTCCCAAAAAGAAACAACATTCATCTTGTGACGCAAAGGCGGTGAGGACTATCTCGGATTTCCTCCTGGGCAGGGCGCAAGCAAATTCTCAAGAGGGGCCCCTCCCTCCCTAATCAGTTCCTGCTTCCAGATTCCGATGCAAACCAGTCCGTCTGCAGGGGAGAATGCAAATAGGAAACGAAAGTGTGAGCAGAACAAGTTGTGCCCAGAGGGACAGCTGACGGCACCGATAAAAATCCAGGGGTGACCTCAAGCGAGCTCCTTGGAGAAGCCAAGTTTCTCAACCCAGACTGCTTTTTAAGATCATGTGAAATATTAAACTTTTCACCTATCACGTGAAGTATTAGTATCGCTTTATAAATCCTTAATAAGGCCACACATGGAAAGCTGCACATTTGATCACCACATTACAAAAAAGATGTGGAGACTTTGGAAAAATGTGCGGAGAGTGCAACTAGATTAAAGGCCTGGAGACTAAAACTGGTTGCAGAGACTGGGTCTGGCTAGTCTAGAGAAAAGAAGGACTAAGGGGGACATGATGTGTTCCAGTATTTGAAGGGCTGCCATGAAGAAGAGGGGGTTAGGTTATTCTCCAAAGCACCTGAAGACAAGACAAGAAACAATGGATGGAAACTAATCAAGGAAAGAAGCAACCTGGAATTAAGGAGAAACTTCCTAAAGAGAGGACAATTAACCAGGGGAACAGCTTGCCACCAGAAGTTGTGGGTGCTTCATCACTGGAGGTTTTCAAGAAGAGACTGGACAGCCACTTGTCTGAAATGGTATAAAGTCTCCTGGTTGAGCAGGGGGCTGGACTAGAAGACCTCCAAGGTCCCTTCCAGCTCTAGTCTGATTGAGATGTGTGGATATCAGCAGGACTGCCTAGGAAATTCAGGGATTTGGTCCAGACATCTTAAAATGGCCAGGGTTGAGGACTCTGCCTTAGAGACTTGAATGTTATGGAATGATGGGACCAAACAACATTCCTGGGTCAGCCTGCTTTGGATAATACGTAACTTTTTGTTTCAGATGGATGTCTTTGCATTCTTGATAACTAGGCCCCTCAGAAGATATATATTACCAAGAATGGAATTTAGCTGATTTAGTGTAATCTCTAAACAAGCACATTTCTTTCTTATAATAATGTGAATAAAGAGGGTCCTTCAGTGTTCATATAGCTGACCCTGTACTATTCCTACATCATTCACATTATGAAGGGAACCTACCCAGTACCCTGACAAACACCCACCAGCTTTATTTGGGCAAAGTGGACAACAGATTCCTCCCACAATGCTGAGGGTCACAGGATGGTGATTGAGGATTCAATCAGGGTTCTGGAAGATGAAAATGGGAAAAAGGCAGCTCCTGGGACAAAGAAAACCACTCTCCCTTTTCCACTCCGCAAAGGATGAGCACTGGGCTACCAAATACGATAGCTTGGCTTTGGATTACTCGGGCATTGAGTGGGTGAGCGTTTGCCTCTTGTGCCTATTTTTTCTGGAGATGGGGGCAGGGATGAATTACATCCTCCAAAATGGCCTGTTGGTGGCTTTCAGCATATAGCAATATCCCTTAGACTTATATACCGCTTCACAGTGCTTTCCAGCCCTCTCTAAGCAGTTTACAGAGTCAGCATATTGTCCCCAACAATCTGGGTCCTCATTTTATCCACCTTGGAAGGATGGAAGGCTGAATCAACCTTGAGCCAGTCAGGATTAAACTGCTGGCAGTAGGCAGAGGGAGGGAGGGAGGAAGGAGAAAAGGAAGAGAAATAGCACCTATACTTATATACCTCTTTATTTTACTTTACTTTACTTCAGATTTATATACCGCCCTTCTCCCTAGGGACTCAGGGCGGTGGTCAGCCAAGTAAAAACACATAAATACATAATACATAGATTAAGAACAGATTAAAAGGAAATATCTCAATTTGGCCCTTCTTCACAGTGATTTACAGCCCCCTCTAAGCGGTTTACAGAGACAGCCTCTTGCACCCAACAATCTGGGTCCTCATTTTACCCACCTCAGAAGGAGGGAAGGCTGAGTCAACCTTGAGCCTGGTGAGATTCGAACTGCCAAATTTTGCAGGCAACTGGCAGTCAGCAGAAGTAGCTTGCAGTACTGCACTCTAACCGCTGCGCCATATAACTTTGACCGTGCACCTTTCATTTCCTTCTGGATCTCAGCATGGCAGAATCCCTTGGTGGGATGGGCGGTCATACAAATGGAATATGCATCTGCTCTCTCTACTCCACTATCCTGCATTTGCTCACAACCGTCCTGTAAGGTAGCAGAGTGTGTAAGGAAGACGATCTTGACCGAGACCTGTAGGGACTGTTTCCTAGGCAAAAGGGGCCGAAGCATTTTTTAAAAATCCAGAATATTTGGAGGTGGCTCAGTTAGACACTAATTCACTGGTGTATGAGTGAGGAGACCCAGCAGAATCAGACTGGCAAGATTCCATCATTAGAGCTCCTCTCCAGCCAAGTCATCTTCCCTAACCCTTCCTGTTGGGTGGATTTCCTGGTCTGACCCACCGAGTGGGGCTGAGAGGTAGCATGGACTGGGAGGGGGGAGTGAGTTCCATGGATGAGGAAGAACCAGGATCCAAATGTCCCTCTACCCAAATCAGCTCTTGGGCTGAGAGGTAGGAGGTGACCCCAAGGACCTTCTGTGACCAGGGAAGAGGTGTTTTCTCTCACCTTGCCAATTGGCAGCATTCCTGGAGAACTGCCATGTTACTGGAAAAGATGAAACCCTGATCCCTTTATGTAACCTCTTCGCAATGTGAGGCTGGGTGGGGAAGGAGGCAAGTTACGGGAAGCCACGCAGCTCAGAACAACTTAACAACATAGTTGGAAGGTCTAACTCCCTGCTCAAGCGCCAGAGAAATGGCTGCCCCACTCTTCTTAAAAACCTCCAGTGATGGAGCACTAAGGTTGGACCTCTCCTTGATAAGTTTCCATCCGTTACCTCTTGTCCTGCCCTCAGGTGTTTTGGAAAACAGGTTGACCCCCTCTTTATCCGAGACAGAAGCTATCTCTTCTGACTCAGCTCCTCAAACACGACAAACCCTCTGGAGTTAAATCAATGATTCCTTTATTAGGAGCGCCAGTGGCCCTGGCAAAAAGTTTCTCTCTCATCACAGGCTAACAAGTCTGTCCGGCAGGGAGATGAATAGTTGTCTGCCACATCTATTCATCTCCTCCCCCTGCCTTTTATCCCCAGAGCTAGAGTGGGGCTTCACTAGCAGCAGTGGCTCTTCCTTCCCAAGGACCGGCCCATAGATTTCCACTGCTCTCCTCTCCTCTGCGCTTTTGCGCATCAGTCACTGGACCCAGCTGTTCCTCCTCTTCCTCATCAGCCACCTCCAGACCTGGGGGCTGTTGACTCTCCCTCTGAGGGATGACGGATGGCCCAAGCTCCACCTCTGTCTCTTTCTCTCTGCCATCTCCCTTCCCTCTTCCCCCTCAGAGCTCTCAGGTTGCCTTGATGCTGACCCTGACTCACACACCTCCTTTTTCTCCTCATTTGGTTGCTGGAAGGGACAGTGGCCCACAGGCCACAACACTATGTCACCCAGCGCTTCTCTTCATTAGCTCAGTTTCTGCTGCTGCCCAACTGTCCCTCCCTATCACAGGAATGTCCCTGGGGGGGGGGGTGTGAGGACAGCCTGGTGTTTTTCTCTCTGCTGTAACTTGACCTGTTTTCGAACTCAATCTTTCTACTACTCAATCTCTCCTCCTGTTCCTTTCAGTTTTGGAGAATTATCCTGAAGTCAAACTTTACCAAGTCCAGCTCCCCTCAACATAATTTCATTTTAAGAATCTGTTGGGCAGAAAAACACCAACCCACCCCCAACGCATTTAGGGCGATGCAATATCTCAGTTATTAAGAAGCCTGGCTTGTCCGATGGAAAGCTGACAGTCCAGGTTCGAGACCAAGCATCCTGCAATGGGGGCAAGTTCCTGTCTTTGCCCAGCTCCTGCTCACCTAGCAGTTCGAAAGCACACACATGTGAGTAGATAAATAGATACCACTTGGGCGGGAAGGTAACAGCCCTCTGACATCATGCTGGCTACATGACCACAGGAATGTCTTGAGTGCTGGCTCATAGCCTCAAAATGGAGAGGAGTGCTGTCCCCTACAGTTGGCATTAGCTAGGCATGCAGGGGTCAACAACCTGCGGCTCTGGAGCCGCATGTGGCTCTTTCATCCCTCTGCTGCAGCTCCCTGTCGTCAGTCGGCTCCACAATTGATAGGGCTTTCATTTAGGATACGTAGAGGAAAAAGGATGCCGCACTAGGAGGAGATTCTATGGTGGGGGAACCGGACTTCCGGTTGGCTCCAGAATTGATACGGGGGGGCTTCCGGTTAGGGCCTTTGTGGCTCTTTGAGTGCTTAAGGTTGCCGACCCCTGAGCTAACGGAATAAAACCCGCAGGGACTGCTTTCCTTCCGCATCGCATTTGGGACCACCTGCCTTGCTTTCCTCATACTTGCAATGCTACAGACTTGCATGTGCTCCCGTTTTAAACATCACAAGCATTGCTCTGGGCAAGTTAGCACATGCTGCCGGTACTTTTTTTTTTTTTTTTTAAAGCCATCATTTGTAGAAGAGCCTGCGACTGGTTTGCAAATGATGCAGAAGAATCTTGGAGATTCTTGGGAAGAAAAGGCGGAGAGGAAACAGGGCAACAAGGCTCTTCCTCCAAGTTAGTTGTGAAGGAGGCTCTGATGCAGATCCAATCTTGTAGACACATTGGTCTAAAACAGAGGTCTTCAAACTTGGCAGCTTTAAGACTTGTGGACTTCAACTCCCAGAATTGGAGAATTCTGGGAGTTGAAGTCCACAAGTCTTAAAGCTGCCAAGTTTGAAGACCTCTGGTCTAACTGGTTCCATTCATATAACAGACATCCTCCCACAACTACAGGGTTGGTCTTCACCTCCTCCCTTCATCCCCCCAACCCCCTTGTGGCCTTGTGGGAAGAAGGAAAAGATCCCGGAGGAATGTCTCAAGGCCCCAGCAGCTCATGGTCCCCTCTGACTCATGGCTGAAACCCGAAGCTCTCTTTGCAGAAGAGATAAGGCTACAGCAAACTTGACTGTCACACATCATTTGAATAGTTCCTGTAGATTAATTGCCGGGGCAGTCCTTACATCATCCCTATTTTCCAATCCTTCCCAAAATCAGCCTTTCTCCCTAAGCCAACGCCTCCCCTCCGCCCCTGCCACACCCCTCTCTTATGTAATGGGCCATGACCTCAACTTCTCCAAATGATTGCTGCAGAGGGGATGGGCACCACTTGGCCACACAGAGCAGCCCTCCCCCCCCGCTGTCTGTTGCCACACCGAGAAAGAGTTCCTTACTCTAGTTCCTTCTTCTTGGCCTCCTCGCTGGTCAGGTCTTCCTCCACACTGTAGTCCAGCACGGAGCCCACGCCGTAGGCACGGTTGCGCCGGATGAGAGGCTTGATGGCTTCCTGGTCTTCTCCAGCCACAAACTGCCCGTAGAAGGTCAGTTTCATCAGCTTCTCGAAGAGCTGCTGTCCCAGCAGCTTCTGGCTGAGGTGCATCAACTGTGGAAAGAGGGGGCAGCGGTCACTTAAAGGGGGGGGGGCTTTCTCACTTAAAACTCCCCAAAGGCAGCCTCAAAAGGCAACCTCAAGTACACTCTGATCCGATTATTAACATTAATTCTTTTGCAAAACACTCCCCAGTTTCTTTAGGCAGAATAATTTCCAGAGCCGTCACTGTTTGTGCTAATAAAGGTAGATTCAAGCTTTGCTTGTTGAAAACTCCATCCTAAAGTTGCTTCTGCCAAACTTCTCACGCTCCTTTGAGCAGCTGCCTGCAAAGTGCATGGTCCGGGGACTGCTGAAGTTCTGGGGACTTTCAACCAGGGAGAAACCTTGGTGGCCAACCCCGGTTTGACAGCCCAACCTCTCCCCAACACCCCTGCGGATGTCCCAGGGATCCCAGTCAGCGATAGAAGAAAAAGGACACCCCTGCACCCATTCTTAGAAACCTCAGGGACAACCACCGACTGCGTTCCCACGTTAAGCTCCTCTGTTACACGAATACGGGGCAGGGGTTAAGTACTTAACAGCCCTAGAGTACAGATTGACAGATGAGTTGGAAGGGACCTTGTAGGTCATCTAGTCCAGCCCCCTCTCCCAAGTACACCATTTCTGACAAATGGCAGTCCGATCTCTTCCATATCAACCATTTCTTTTTTCAAGCTTTGGGAAATTCCCGTCTCAAACACCACCAGCCTAATTTTTTAAGCCAAAGACAAAAGCCGCGCTTCCGTTGCGCTGAGATAGACTGCCTCTGAAGATGAAGGCTCTACTACCGTTCCCCCCGCGGCCGTTTCAGCTCTTCCGGGAAAGGAGGAAGAAGAAGCGGCCGGATCTCGGCTCACCTGCTCGGCGCGCTGCACCAGCGGTTCCAGGGCGCAGAGGCGGAGCACGAGCAGCCCGCGCAAGAGCTCGCCGCTGGTCTTGCTCCGGAAAGCCTCCCGGGCATCGGAGAAGTTCACCGCCCGCGGCTGGGGCGGCGGCGCCGGGCGCTGGCGGAGGTGCGTTCCGTGCGCGGGGACCGCATCCGCGGGGACGGCATCCTGGTCCGGGAGCGCTGCAGCCGGAGCCGGGGCCGGGGCCGGGGCCGGGGCAGAGCGCGAACGGCTCGGGGCGACGAAGGACCGAGCAGCGCGCAGCGAAGCCCGAGAGAAGCAGCCGCGTCCGGCCATGCCCGCGAAATGTGGAAGGGCGAGCCGGCGGTCGGGCGCGCTTATATATGAGCCGCGTCCCCCCCACTAGCCGGTTGGGAGCGTTCGATTGGTGGCTCCGCCGGCCCGGGCCACGCCCACTGCGGAGTTTGGCTATTGTTCTCCGCTTCTTCGAGGCACACCCACGTCAAGCCACGCCCCTCTCCTGCCCCGCCCCCGCCCCGGGCAATCAGGAGATGCGCGAAGGTTGCGCAATCCCGTCTGGAGCTGCGACGCCTCCGCAGGGCAGCTTTGCCCGACTTGGTGCCCTCCGGCCCGGATGGGTTGGCCAAGAAGAACCGTGGCCGCTTGGCGCGGGAAATACACCTTTCCCCACCAATGGGGGAAGCTCCCTACAGGCAGCCCCAGTGGGCAAGTGGAAGTTTTGGGAGGGGAAATTGCTGCGGCGCCCCCTCCCCGTCCCCCCCCTCCCCTCTGGGCTTTGGGAAAGAGCTTGCTTCTGCGCAGGGGTTGGAATGCAGGATTGCAGGCTTGATTGCACTCGCTGCCCGCAGTTCGAGTCTCACCGGCTGAAGGTTGACTCAGCCTTCCATCCTTCCGAGGTGGTTAAAATGAGGACCAGATTATTGGGAGCAATAGGCTGACTCTGCATACTGCTGCAAAGCACTGTATATAAGGGTTAGTGCTAGTGCTCTATTATTATTATTATTATTCATTGGTTAATCTTTAGTGAGATTCACAGCCTTTGAGGCTGGTTAATAGCTCAGCAGCTCGAGTCCTAACCAAGGACCTAGGAACTGTTAAGGTATCGTCGGAGGATGTAAGCTGTTCCGAGTAAGGTGGTTTTTTGTAGAGTCAAAATGTTCAAGTCCGGCAAATTTAGAATGTCTAAATAGCGGGGTAGCCCTTTGGGTATTGCTCCGAGGGCTCCAATTACAATCGGGACAACACACGATTTCTTTTTCCACAGTCGCTCAACTTCAATTTGTAAGTCCCGGTACTTTGTGATTTTTTCTTGCTGCTTATCTTCAATTCGTGCATCACCAGGTATTGCAATGTCAATGAACCATACTTTTTTCTTTTCAACTATTGTTATGTCAGGTGTGTTGTGGACCAAGTGCCTGTCAGTCTGAATCCTAAAGTCCCACAAGATCTTGAGTTTCTCATTCTCTAAAACTTTCTCAACCTGATGTTCCCAGTGGTTTTTGCTGTACTCAAATCCAAACTTCTGACACAATTTCCAGTGAATGATTTTAGCAACACGGTCATGGCGTTGTAGGTAGTCAGTTTGTGAAATTTTGCTGCACCCACTGATCAGGTGGTCGACTGTTTCATCTTTCTCATTGCAGAGGCGGCATTTGCTGTTGGTGGTAACATGTTGAATTTTTGCCTTCATACAGTTTGTGGCTAGGGCTTGTTCTTGAGCTGCCAAAATAAAGCTTTCAGTTTCTTTTTTCAGTACTCCTGATCTTAACCAGTTCCAAGTTAGTTTCTGGTCAGCTTTGCCTTCAATACTTTTCAAGTATTGGCCATGCAGAGCTTTGTGTTTCCAATTTTCAGCTCGCTGCTCAATTACTTCTTTCTTATATTCTGCTTTTGTTTTAGTTGTCTTTAAAAGGCCTCCTTTATTTACTTCCTTAATCATTGGTTCTTCACTTTTCTGGATGTAATCATTCAAGCTGCATTTTTCTTCTTCCACAGTCTGCTTTACTTGTAGGAGTCCTCGACCACCCTCTGCTCTTGGTAAATATAATCGGTCAACATCACTTTTAGGGTGCAAGGCATGATTCATTGTCATAAGCTTCCTTGTTTTTCTGTCCAAATTGTCTAACTCCATCTGGGTCCAGTCAATTATTCCTGCAGAGTATCTAATCACAGGTATAGCCCAGGTATTTATGGCTTTTATGATGTTTCCTCCACTCAATTTGGACATTAATATCTTACGAATTCGCCGAATGTACTTGGCTGAAGTTAATTCCTTGACTTTATTATGCATTAAGTCAGAGGCTTCTAAAATCCCCAAGTACTTGTAGCCTTCTTCTGATTTTACTGCCTTTATCATTTCTTCATTCTCTAGTTCTATTCCATCCTCTTTTATGATCTTGCCTGCTTTGGTTGCTATTGTTGCACATTTGTCAATTCCAAACTGCATACCAATGTCTTGGCTGAATTCTTTTGTGTTTTCAATTAATAAATTCAGTTCAGCTTTTGTTTTACCAAACAGCTTCAAATCATCCATGTACATCAAGTGCGAGATTTTCAGTCCTTTCTTTACAAGTTCGTATCCACAGTTCATCTTCTTCAAAATGATTGTCAGTGGTAGCATTGAGAGTATAAAAAGTAGGGGTGAAAGGGAATCGCCCTGGAAAATGCCTCGTTTAATTTCAACTTCACCCAGTTCTTCTTCATTAGCGTTAAGTTTTGTTTTCCAGAGGTTCATTGAAGATTCCATGAATTTTTGTATGTTGCTGCTGATGCCTAATATTTCCAGGCATTTCTTGATCCAGCTATGGGGAACTGAATCAAATGCTTTCTTATAGTCTATCCAAGCCATGAACAGGTTGGTTCGTCTTTTCTTTGAGTTCTTTAGGATTAGCTTGTCGATCAGCAATTGATCTTTTGTTCCTCTTGAGTTTTTGCAGCATCCTTTCTGTTCTACAGGAAGCAAGTTATTTCTTTCCAGGTATCCATAGATTTGGTTTGCAATGATACCAGTAAGAAGCTTGCATGTTGTTGGCAAGCAGGTGATTGGCCTATAGTTTCCAGGGTCCTTTCCTTTTTCTTTATCTTTTTGGATCAAAAATGTCCTTACAGTTGTTATCCATCCATCATTTTCAGGTGTTTTTAGGATCTGGTTCATCTGGGTTGCCAATCTTTTGTGCAGACTTGTAAGTGCCTTTAACCAGAAGCCATGCAGCTCATCCGGTCCAGGTGCACTCCAGTTCTTCACTTTTCTTGACTGTCTCTGCACCATTGCTTTTGTTATTTTCACGTCTTCCATTTTATGCACTTTAATAGAGTCCTCAACCTGTTTGATCCATTTTGCATTTCTGTTGTGCTTCTTGTTGTTTTCCCACAAATTCTTCCAGAATTTCAGAGCTTTCTCTTTATCAGGCTTTTCATTTGTTGTTACTCCGTTTCCATTTTCTAAATTCTTATAAAACTGGTGCTGATTTGCTCTGAACTGTGAGTTTTCCTTGAACTGAGTTACTCGGTTTTCATACCTTTTAATCTTTTCAGCGATGGCAACAACCCTCTGCTTTAGCTCTTCAATTACTACTGCAATCTCCTTATTCCTTAGATCGTATCTTGCTTCCAGGCTGCTTTTGACCTGCTTGTTCTTTAGCTGACCTTGCCTTAGGTTCTTCAAGTTGCTCAAATCTCCACGTATTTTTTTGATCTTCAATTCTAACCGAATTTTCCACTTAGGCTTCCCCTTCTTGCCTCTTTGGTTCTTTTGTATTTTCAACCCCAGTTCTTTGGTGGTTATGACAGCTGCTGCATAACTTATTATTATTATTATTATTATTATTATTATTATTATTATTATTATTTAATCTTTAGTGAGATTCACAGCCTTTGAGGCTAGTTAATAGCTCAGCAGCTCGAGTCCTAACCAAGGACCTAGGAACTGTTAAGGTATCATTGGAGGATGTAAGCTGTTCCGAGTAAGGTGGTTTTTTGTAGAGTCAAAATGTTCAAGTCCGGCAAATTTAGAATTTCTAAATAGCGGGGTAGCCCTTTGGGTATTGCTCCAAGGGCTCCAATTACAATCGGGACAACACACGATTTCTTTTTCCACAGTCGCTCAACTTCAATTTGCAAGTCCCGGAACTTTGTGATTTTTTCTTGCTGCTTATCTTCAATCCGTGCATCACCAGGTATTGCAATGTCAATGAACCAATTAATAATAATAATAATAATAATAATAATAATAATAATAATAATAATAATTTCAATTTATATGCCACCCTTCTCCGGAGACTCAGGGCGCCTTCAATGCTTTTAAGCAATAGCCTTCATACTTTTGTATATACCTGCTTAGTAGGGCTTTTGGCCCCCCCTAAGCGGTGTTCTTTTTTATACAAAGTCAGCTTATTGCCCCCACAATCCGGGTCCTCATTTTACCTTCCTCGAAAGGATGGAAGGCTGAGTCAACCTTGAGCCTGGTGAGATTTGAACTCGTAGTAATTGCAGACAGCTGGCAGCTAAATACTACTTTTAACAGTAGTTTAGTCCACCAGGCTCTCTACCCTTCCTCCCTCCCTCCCTCTGCCCACTGCCAGCAGTTTAATCCTGACTGGCTCAAGGTTGACTCAGCTTCCATCCTTCCAAGGTGGATAATATGAGGACCCTGATAGTTGGGGGCAATAGGCTGACTCTGCAAACCGCTTAGAGAGGGGCTGTGAAAGCACTATGAAGCAGTATATAAGTCTAAGAGCTAATGCTAGTGCTCTACCTTCCCTCCCTCCCTCCCTTCCTAGTGGTTGGTTGTCATATATGCAGCAAACCATGGTTAAAATATCCTTTGTTCAGTGCAATGGGAGGGGGGGAATCTAAGCTTTAGAGGGTATTCAAGAGAAATAAAAAATAGCTAATGAAAATAAAATATAAAATATATTGTGTAAAGTAATAAAAACAATTACAAAATATTGTTGCATGTCGTGCCTTCTCTGTTTCAACCATGTTTTCCTCTAATTTTAATAACTTTTAGTCCCACTTTGTGTCAGATAATAAGCAATTTTATGACAGGAAGGACATAATCCAGATAGGATAGGATAGAACAGAAAATAGAATAGAATAGAATAGAATAGAATAGAATAGAATAGAATAGAATAGAATAGAATATGGAATGGGAATAGAATAGAATAGAATAGAATATGGAATGGGAATAGAATAGAACAGAACAGAATTTTACTGTCACTTTGAATGTACATTAATTGGCATACATTAAACTGAAATTTTGTTGCATACAGCTGTCAAAGGGTCACCACCTCCAATATACATTACATAATATAACAGA